AAGAGGTGTCGAGAATACTGGATGCTACACCAGGCTTCATAGTAATTGAACTGCAGATCATTATTGCCCGTTTATCGCGCCTCGATGTCCGCAGGTACGGTCATCAGTAATATAATTCGCATCAGACGGGTTGAAGCATCTGAATCGCCCTTGAATGACTAAGAGCTGCCAGTTGGGAGGTGCCAGCATGGGTCTGGGTTGTCGGTGGGACGCGGTGGAAGACATATGCTTTGAGGGTATGGGGAATCTTGTCTCCAGTTATGTTAATAGTCACAGTGCTTTCAACGAATGTGTTGCTACCTTCAGCTACCTTGCGAATCACGACGGTCCTATCAGTGGGGCGTTCAGAGGACGGGTGGCCATGAACCCACTCTCCGCTGGCTGCGAGAAGAGCGGTGATGGCTATGCTCTTCATCTTGTTTCGGTGAGCATAACTGACGCGGAAATGACCGAGACGTATAATGGGAAGATACGCGTTTGTGGCACTCTGTAGGGACAAGAAATTATGCAATGATGACTTCCCAAGTCACGGGCGAACCTACCAATGTCCTATATCCTGTGAGCTGTGGATCGCGGGTGGAATTCAGACATATCCTGTAACAAGGCAAAGTGGCTGTGCTGTGCGGGGCTGGAAGAATGGTAGCAGGGAGGAGAGTTGTCTAGCCACATGCCAAACCAAAATGGGCAGGTAGGGAGGAGTGCGAGACAGTTTACAGTGCTGGTAGAGTGCCATACATTACAATTTAGACAGAGTATCAGTATTCCACGCTTTGGATGCCGTCTACCTGTTCCAGAGTCTTTCATCGGCCCTTTCCTACTTCTCAATGTCGTCGCCGTGCTAAGCGTTCGCTGCCCTAGCTGCTGCCTCTCTGGGGGTGGTGTTGGTGGTGTTGCCCTGTCAGTGTCAACCAGAAACGCGTTCTCGATTCCCGACCTGCTGGACAGGCTTCTGTGCGTTGTTGCACGTACACGCCGAACCCTACAGTGCTCTGTTACAATACATACAACAAGTATCCACGCACAATCACATCGCGAGCCCATCGACTGCTGCAATTGGTGGTTGAGAGAAGACTCAAGTCTCGTCGTATTCTGGAGCCTTTTAAATGCCATGGGCGGCGATGATTTATCGTAGACTCTGTGGCTGCTCCCGATCAAAGGTATTGATCCATTATTCAGTAAGCGATCCCGGTGGCCATGGAACATCTCTGTATTTCTTCATCCATGAAGAGGGTAGATAGTGTAAGATGCTGGCACGATGGGGCTGAAATGAGAGAGAGGAAGGAGGTAAGGAGGCTGGCCATGTCGATGCCAAGACCCGCGGTTGTTGTGCCTCGGCCCACCAGCCTAGTCGCCCGCGTCTGTCTCCATGTCCGTGTCAGTTTCATCTTTCTTCCTTTTGGCCCCGTTTCAACTTCGCGTGCCATGATGCTTTCCGACAACAGCAGGGCACAATTTACCTTCATCTACTTTCGTTTACAGGAGACTTCTTGCAGCTTTCGCGATGTTCTTTTGAGAGGCCCCCCCCCAGCTGCACGGCGCAGTTGAACAGAGATATGATGCCGGTCGAGGGTAATAATGCTTGCTCGACCCGACTGCTTGCAGTTCGCCTAACTTGAGGCTCTTCAAGTTTCACCTATCCACTTGGACCCCAGATGCCTCGCATGCGCCTCCCGGACGCCTCCCAGACATTCCCCTGGGGTCTTCCTACTTGGTCAGTGGAACTAAGCTGATCCCAAGAGTCGGCGAGCAATTCTTCAGCACAACACTTAGGGACTTTGCAGACGCAAGCCTCCCAAGGCGTACGTATGGTGTACACTGTATCATTTGCAAACCATTGTTCAGAGAGACCGCTTCCGTCTGAAGAGAATGCGTCAATTGGGGCCAGTTTTGCCGCGACCCACGATGTGTGCTGTTTGAGGTCATACAAGGGCTTCCATGATGATCCGCCTCCCCGCATGGCGCCATCATGACCACTGACACTATTTCAAACAGTCTATTGCTTCTTCAAACGATGTGCATGGGTAGCGCGCCTTCTGAAAGAACCGGAAACTGCACATAATGACAACCTGATCGCACGACTTTTTGCTTTTTCTAACCGATATTGATGAGCGCCTTGTTTAGCACTGGCTCTAGACCGCTCTGCAATCGCTTAGCTCTTCTCAAGAAAACGAACCATGGAAGAGAATCGTCGCGGGAACCACAGCAGCTAACGGGAGCAGGCTGGCCATTCTGCCTTCATCATCCCCTGTCTCTACCAGATGTTGGTCTTGCGCTATATTGGGGCCAGACCTTTCATCCATGTCGACATTCCAGACTCATTGTGTCGCTTGCCCTTGCCGCGCAGAACGCTACTGTCACACGTTCATGCAAGCTGCATGCTGCATACTGCTGCAATAGTTCCTCGGCACGGGCGAGAGCGAAGAAGATATCAGCTGCGGTTCTCGATCGGAAGAAGGATAATGAGATACAAACAGCGGAAGTGTATCAAGAAGAATCCTTCGAAGGGCACGCATTCTACATAAACCTCACGGTAGGTCTGCTGGCTTTCAATTATCCGTTCCCGTCTTGTACTCGTGATTCCAAAATGCACTTCGTTCACGTAAACATTCTTCTCCCAATTCTCATCCTCCATGGTATCGCCCTTGAGGCTGTGGAGGCCTCAATCTTGTCAAACCGAAGGGACTTCCATACTTTGAGACCCGTTACAAGACGTCCAGATATCTCGCGGAGGAGGGCAGATCTTAGACCCGACTATAGCGCCGAATTGGGCTATACAGATGGTGACTTTACTCGTCGTGCTTTGACGCATGAGGCTGATTGAGATCCAAGGCGAGGACCGACATGATCAAAGTCCAATCTTCTTCTCGTCCGTCCGGTTCCAGTCGGATAGGCCAGTGCTGGTGCTGGAGCAGATGGAAGATCTCTTGGAAAATGTCCAATGCTCCAACGAGGACGTCACAGTTGTGTTCCACACACCGTTGGCATTTCACGAAGCAAGACAGGAATGGAGCGATCTTGATAACGCCTACGTCGTCGTTGCCCATACAAATTGTTCCGAAGATAAAGGGCGGGTGACATTTCAGTAAGCAGAATCTTCCAGAGTAGTGAATTGGGTCGCCCAGTTTATACCAACTGCAATGACGGCACTAATTGATCAAGAATTCAAGCCATCGCCTTCGAAGAAGAATACAATGCTGTGATCCTCCGGACAGAGAAGATAACATGGCAAGAAGCCTTCCACGACTTCCACCTGAGGTTCGGACACACCACCGAGGCATATCTACCTCGCAACCAGCCCCAACACTTGATTCGAAGACAAGCCTCTGTAGAAACGACTCCGACATCGACATCCGCTCCGCTTGCCTTGACCGCAACATCCCTAATCCCTTCGGATGCCTCGACCGCAACAGCCACGGCCCTCTCGATCAACCTCACCCACGGCGCCCAAGATACTTGGTTCCCAGACACGGTGCACCCCACCGATGCCCAGATCCCGATCAAAATCGGCTGTAAAGAATGTAGCACCAGCGGCACTCTGACCCTCGCGCAGGGCGAGTGGAGCGTCTTGTCTCCGGCCGACTGGTTCGGGGCCGAGGATCTGGGAAACATTATCTCGGCGGGAAATGTGCAGCTGGGCATCGAGGGGTTCGTCGCGCACGTGGAGATCCAGATCGAGCCCAGCCTCAAAGGGGACATGAGTCTGCCCTTATTCACGATCCCAGTGTTCGGATTCACGGTAAGCCACAAGCCATTCCGCCGATTCATTCAGAGGGACGTATCTTTCCTGATGCGTATTGTGCAAAGATTCCGGAATTCGGGTCCGGCGGGATCCTCGTCGAGCCGACGCTGTCGTTGAGCTGGGAATTGTCTGGCGGCATCGAAATGTCCTACGGATTTGAGCTGGAGGTATTTTCCACTCGGATTGTGCTCGCTGTCGTCGCTGATGTGTTTGTGCTCCCCAGATCCCAAACCTCGCCGTCTATCTTGATTTCGCAGATCCGGCCTCATCTAGCGTGACCGGGCTGTAAGCTTCCACAGGCACGAGCGTTCTCGTCTTCGTATGGCTAACCGCGTTGACCTTAGCGACGGCATCTCCATCACCGACGTCCCTTTCCAAGCCAACATCTCAGACATCGATCTCTCCCTCAGCCTCTCTCTAACGCCACGAATCACCCTCGGCATAGAGATACTGGACGCAGTGTCCGCCGAAGTCGGTACATCCTTTGACCTCCCCAAAGCCACCGTCGCCATAACCCAGCTGGCCACAGATTCCGTGAATGCCAGCTGCGCGCAGTCGAGCGACGCGCCGGCCTACCAGGCCGAATTTGAACACCTGTTTCACAATCTGACGCACGTCGCTGTGGGCGTCGAGTTGGGCGTGGGCTTCGATATGACCGCCGAAGTCGACCTGCTTCCCAAGCTCGACTTCTCCAGTTCCTGGGAGCTGGCAACCGTGCCGGTCGCCGCGCTTCCAACGCGGTGTTTGGCGTTTCAGACCGATGCTCCTTCAGGACCGGGCTTTACGCCTGCTGTGTCGGCGCTTGCAAAAGTGCAGGCTCAAGCTCTTGCTTCTGCGTCATCTTCCGCTGCTGCTGCTGCTTCTGCCGCGGCTACGACGCAGAGCAGGTCGGGAGAGTCGAAGGGGCAGAATGGGTCACCGACTTCCACCGAGAATGCTGCGTCGGGTCCGAAGTATACTCATCTCGACTCTCCCACGGAAATTGTATGCTTCTATGCGTTTTTCATTGTGGCTGGACTCTTCATGAGTCTGTAACCACCTTGCGTTGTGGGGCACCGGCTGTCAGCTGAAAAGAATAGGAGTGTTCGCTGCGAGCGCAGATGCTGCAGAATGATTCATGCAATTCGAGATCATGGAGCTCTTTGGTCTGGTGTAGTCTGGTAGAGTTCTGGTTTTCTCCCAACCGTCTCATCTGCCCCATGGTTTAATCACCGCAGAAGAACCAAGCCATCGTAGAATCGTCTGCGGATCGATCCGCAGCTCATCTCGACGGACTCAAAGGTCTATTGAATCCACCAACGCGGTTCATGTATTGTCGATATGTCGTCTTCTTCTCCTTCCTCACGCCGTAAATCTGGTTCCCTGGCACCTTCGTATTCTGCGTCGACTTGAACGTGGTAAAACCCATCAACTTTTTCAGAAGAGCGTCTTCATCATCTTCATCAACAGCCATAGCATCACCGTTAGCTACAGGGTTGTCCGCAATCTCTGCCTCTCTCGGTTTCGGTGCTCTTGGCCCTTCATCGTCGGGCTTGTTCCGGTCCCGAGGCCTGGCCCGATCATGATCACTCCGTCGAAGAGGGGAGCGTGTGCGTACAGGGTCGCGACCACTATTCCTGGCTGGTGAGCGTGATCGGGAGCGTCGATGTGGGCGTTCGGCTCGGCGATCTGGGTCGCGTGAGCGCAGGAAACCATCTCCAGTAGAGTGTCCATTACCTTTAGAATCTCGATTCCTGTCACGACTTCTGCTCCGCTCTCGCCGGCTGTGGCCGTTGACATCTCGGTCCCGTCCACCTCTGTCTCGCTCTCGTTCACGCTCACGTTCCTTGTCCCTGTTCCTGTCGCGATCGCGGTCTCGATCACGCGGCGGCTTCTCTTGAGATCTGCTCCGCTCTTTCCGTCTGTCAGGGGTGTCTCGCGACTTCGATCTCTTTCTCCGCTCGCCGTCTCTTCTGGGTCCGCGACGGTCTTCGTCCCTGTCATCGCGTGGCCTCTGTTTGTGGTCCTTTCCACTCGAACTAGGCCGCGAGCTCGACTTCCCGTCCTCATCCCACATGGCGGCGCTGGTTGTGCGCTTTGTGCGCTTTGCAGGACGTTCCTCCATCGCTGCAGGGCTGCCAATGTTTGAAAGGGTGGGAGAGGGTTGAACCAGGACTGTGAACAGCCGAACTGCGGAGGGGAGGGAAATTTCAGTGGTTGTACAAGTTCTAAAGTTCGTGCAGGGTCATATGCCGTGACGTAAGTACGGCGGATCATTGACCGACTTGAACGACTTGAACGAGTGAGCTTGGAACGAGTTAAGGAAGACAACGCAAGACAACGCAAGATGGCTAAGCTTACCAAGGAAAGCGAGTCAAAGACAGCAAACCGACCAAACAAAGCAAACACTCGTCATACCCTTCCAGCCTTCCCCTCCACTGTCAAGGCGGCGAGGTCACGAACACCTTCTCTTCGAGTGCAGCCTGCTCCCAAACACCCTTTCACTCGCTAGACACTCGTCTCTAGTTTGTATCACCAACCAAGAATCTTTATTTGTGCGTTCCATCCACCAGAGGAGTATAAATCATCGGGAACCCCTGCTACAGCAACAAACCCACAACTTCATCTTCCAAATCAACCCCACCCCATCCCAGAATATTGTCACCCTTCTCGCGCCAAACTATGCAATATCTCCGCTCCGGTCTCGACCAGCTCCGTGACCGCTACGCCCCTATCCGACATACCTCCACCTTCCGCAATACAGGCCAGATCACACCAGAAGAATTCCTTCTCGCAGGCGATTACCTCGTCTATAAATTCCCGTCGTGGTCCTGGGCTGACGCCTCTAGTCCTGCGCGACGGGTCAGCTATCTGCCCGCCAACAAACAATATCTCGTCACAAGGGGGGTTCCGTGTCATCGAAGGCTGGATGAGAATTTCGCAGGTGGACATGGTGCCGCGGATGATCTCGTCAGAGATGGATTTCTAGGTGGCCCAGATGAGGAGACTGGTGGCGGTGAAGATGATGGCTGGTTAAGGACGGGAGGGACCACGGAGAAGGAACAAGAAGGCTTGAGGGCGGAAGTGAGAACTATGAGTGAGAGCGGCCAACTTGGCCAAAAAGCGACCGAGGAAGAGGACGAGGAGGAAATTCCTGATATGGAGGATGAGGACGACGACAACGAGGCTATCATAAGAGATAAGACCGAAGGTACATCTGCGTAAGTATATCTTCATTGCTCTCAACTCTGGCGGGGGAGCACGATTTGCTGACATGAGTTACAGGCCTCTTCGAACATACACCCTCTACATAACCTATACACCCTACTACCGCACCCCGCGCATGTACCTCTCCGGGTACCTCTCTCCCAGCGAACCTCTACCACCACACCTCATGATGGAAGACATCGTCGGCGACTACAAAGACAAGACTGTCACATTGGAGGACTTCCCCTTCTTCGACAATAGCGTGAAAATGGCGAGCATCCACCCTTGCAAACATGCCAGCGTGATGAAGATCCTCCTTGACCGTGCGGACGTGGCCCTGAAGCTTCGACTAGAAAAACAAAAAGCCACTGGCGATGCCGCAAACATCTCAGGTATGGAAGGTCTGATTGACGACACGGCAAATCTCAGGCTTGCCGAGCAGAAGCGGGGGCATGAAGCGGGTGTGAAGGCGGCTAGTGGTGGTGCCGGAGACGAGTGGGAGGTGTTGGATGAGCAAGACAGCAAAGAAGATGAGAGCGAGAAGGTGGCGATCCGGGTGGATCAGTATTTGGTCGTGTTTTTGAAGTTCATGGCGAGCGTAACGCCGGGGATCGAGCATGATTTTACGATGGGAGTCTGATGGATACATTACGGAAACATAGGATGACGGATACGGATATGGTACGAATGCAACCAGGTCTGGGACAGCGGTCTTCCAGGAGCTTGCGCACGAATGCTGAGACCGCTCCTCTGGTCGATTTTATCAGCATTGAGCAGAAATGCTTCATTTTTACGAGTCAAGACGATGAGTCTATTGGGCATTATTCGTCTTTCATACTATTCTAGAATGCTTGCTGGCACCGTGGCTCATGGTCTTGAGGCTCCATCCAGAGCACCGGCATCCGCCCTCAATGTCGATATTGCCTTTCTTTTCTTGAACTGCATGCCCCTAATCAGCTGACCACCTCAATGGCTAGCCTACAGGTAGTTCATCTCTAAGTCTCGCAATGGTCGGCGTCATTTCCTCTCTGTGCTGCCGCCCTGTGGATAGTTTCCTCAATCCTACCTATCAAGCTCGGTGGCATCCTCAGCGCTACATTGGCAAACACCCATCTTCCTGGGAATGGATAATCAAACTCCGATACAGAATGACACTTTGAAGGATACCCGTGGACGATTGATGTCGACATGCATCATTCTACGTCGATCTCCGGAGTTTGGGCGGTGCACAGCCCGTCAGCCAACGCACGTCTGACTTCATCTGTGTGGGATCGCCCGAGGCATTCGTGTGCCTTTCTAACTGTTGGCCTTGAGGCGAAGTGGCCCTGCAGCACGTCGCGAATGCCTGCACATCTCAATGGCTTCAACGATCTCCACACAAGCTGCCTCACTATCTCCACAGCAGCGTCACAAGCCCTTGGGTAGCACGACGGGAATTTCGATACTTCCGCAACCCCGAATTCCGGTCACAAGGCTGTTGACAGAAGGATTTCGCGAAATAATTGCTTGAGATGCGGCTTGAATGCTTGTCTGATTGGCCAGGACAACGCGAGGCGCCCAATCCAAGGAGGGATCACCGAACAGGAGACAATGGCATCAGGACTCTGGATTCATCACGAATAAATGAAAGCGCAGAGATGGAGCAATTCCGCCCACAAGTCTTTCCGCTAGAGCCCTGAGCGGACAGCTTAGGTCATCACCAAGCTCGAGAGGCCAGTCCGCCAGTCCTGCTTCTGAAATATACGGACATCGATTTTGGTTCAGTTGATACGACTGGTGAGCGGCCTCGCGTCACTCAATGCCATTTCTTTGTATGACCCGATCCAATATGGCACACCGACGTCGCTCAAGTTTACTCGATCGAGCATAGCGAACGAGGATTAGCAACGGGAAGGCATCAATTAGTCAAGGAGGCTTCACATGTATCCCGCAGGGTACCACAAAGTAAGCAGCTCTTGGGGTTTTCCGGACAACTGAGACTAGCGGATTGCACGTCAACTTCGCACCTCCTTGCTTGGTCGAGTATAATAGTTAACGAACATTAGCAATATCGAGGTCACAATTGGTCGAGCAACCCCCAATCGCTTTGCAGCAGGGGTCCTGGAAGAAGGTAAGATCCTTTCCGTGGCTTTGCCGGTTCCACAATAGTATCCTTCCGGCATGCACATGAGGCCGAGCTTCCATTTCAGCCTCATTGTCAACCAATTGTCTAATGGACGGACCTTCCAAAGTGGGTGGCCTTCAAAAATGCGATTCCTATCTCGCTGAGCGTGTACAGAAGCGGTCGGTTCGTGCTGACGGAAAGCAGTATTTCTCTTTTGTTACCCGACCTCGTTGCGTGGCCTCTTGCATTATGCATTGTGGCTCAGCGACTTGATTCACTCTTTTGAGGAGAGAAACATGACGGAAAGATCTTGTCCTGATAATGTCATATATGACTCTCCTGGAGAAGGCAATGGCTCTCACAACATTTCGAATTTGTGTCAACGCCGTTGCTCCTGAGATCACGTCGTGCAATCACTTGTCACCATGCGTTCTCCGCTGTCCAACCTCAGTGCTCTCCCAGCCATGGTCGGGACCACGTTTGCGCTCCTCTTCATTGTCCAAGGGACCTTGGCCGCTTGTCCGTACATGCAGGGCGGCCATGGTTTTCAGGAGCAATCGACGGGGAATAGAGAAAAGACCTACGCAAAGCGGCAGACCTCCGCGTCCAACGGCACCACTCCTGTCGACACTTTTCTTGATCAATTCACACTCAACGATACCGACACGTACATGACCTCGGACGTCGGTGGGCCGATCCAAGACCAAGAGAGCTTGAAGGCTGGGGTCAGAGGACCTACGCTCCTCGAGGACTTCATGTTCCGACAGAAGATCCAGCATTTTGATCACGAGAGGGTGAGTTACATTCTAGTTCGTAGAGCAGAAAATATCTAGGCTAATGTCTGTACTTATGTGCAGGTACCAGAGAGAGCGGTTCACGCGCGAGGGGCAGGTGCGTTTGTACCCTTCCTTTAGTGTTTGGTCTGGAGAGACGACTGGTTGGCTGACCCACACGTCAGGAGCCCATGGCGTCTTCACTAGTTACGCAGACTGGTCAAACATCACAGCCGCTTCGTTTCTTTCTGCAGCAGGGAAGGAAACTCCCATGTTTGTCAGATTTTCCACAGTCGCAGGAAGCAGAGGCAGCCCAGAGGCAGTCCGAGACGTCCATGGATTTGCCAGTCGCTTCTACACTGACGCAGGAAATTTTGGTGAGGCCCCAGCATTGTGATTGTATTGAGTCCTCGGTGCTTGTGACCTGTCCTAACCGATGCTCGGCGCGCCAGACATTGTTGGAAACAACATCGCTCCATTTTTCATCCAGGACGCAATCCAGGTTAGTTGGATTCACGACCTAGTGAGGAGCGCAGCGACACGGCCAGTGACACTGATAGTCAACTAGTTCCCAGATCTGATCCACGCCGTAAAGCCTGAACCAGACAGGGAAATTCCACAGGCTGGAACCGCCCACACCACAGCATGGGATTTCTTCAGCCAACAGCCCTCCTCTCTGCACACCCTGTTCTGGGCTATGGCAGGTTATGGCATTCCGCGATCTTTCCGGCATATGGACGGTTTTGGGGTCCATACTTACCGTTTGGTGACCGACGATGGTAATTCGAAGTTGGTCAAATGGCACTGGAAGACTTTACAGGGCAAAGCAAGCCTGGTGTGGGAGGAAGCCCAGGTGTTGTCCGGGAAGAATATCGACTCTCATAGGCAGGATTTGTGGGATGCCATCGAGGCCGGCCAGTATCCGGAGTGGGAACTTGGGGTTCAGATCATGGAAGAGTCCGACGCGCTCAGTTTCGGGTTTGACCTGCTCGACCCGACAAAGATCGTGCCGGAGGAAATTGTGCCAGTCACTATTCTTGGCAAGATGACTCTGAATCAGAACCCTCGAAACTACTTTGCAGAAACAGAACAGATCATGGTATATCTTCACCATCAAACGCGGTGCCGAGGGAATCAAGGCTGACAGCGGTTCTATAGTTCCAACCGGGCCACATTGTTCGTGGGATTGATTTTACAGAGGATCCCCTGCTTCAGGTACGTCTGGACGCCGTGGATCTGTGCGGAAAGCAATCAACCGACTCACCTTGCCAACCAGGGGCGAATCTTCTCATATTTGGACACTCAACTGAACAGACACGGGGGTCCCAACTTTGAGCAACTACCGATCAATCGTCCTCGAGTGCCGATCCATAACAACAACCGAGATGGAGCTGCTCAGAACTACATTCCGCTCAACGTCGCCGCATACACGCCCAATGACCTCAACAACGGCTCCCCTATGCAAGCCAACCAGACCAACGGCAATGGGTTTTTCACCACGCCTGGCCGGACCGTAGGCGGGAATCTTGTGCGGGCAAAATCGTCCACCTTTGACGACGTCTGGTCCCAGCCACGGATGTTTTATAATTCACTGATCCCGGCCGAGCAGCAATTCCTCATCAACGCAATGCGCTTCGAGGCCTCCCACGTCACCTCTCCGACGGTCAAGCAGAATGTCATCACCCAGTTGAACCGTGTCGACAACGACCTCGCGGTCCGCCTTGCACAGGTCCTGGGGGTCCCAGCTCCGGCGCCCGATCCCACGTACTACAACGACAACCGCACGGCCTTTGTGTCGATCTTCAACTACTCGCTGCCGACAATTGCGGCGCTGAACGTCGGCATCCTCACCAGCGTCTCGTCCCCCAGCTCCCTGGCCCAGGCGACCTCGCTGGCCCAGTCGTTCGCGCAGTCCGGGGTGTTTCCTATTATCGTGGGTGAAGTCCTCACCGGCCCCGTCAACCAGACCTACTCCGCCGCTGACGCGAGCGGCTTCGACGGCGTCATCGTCACCTCAGGCTCCGAAGCTCTCTTCACCACTAACAGCTCTACCTCGGCGCTCTACCCGGCCGCCCGTCCTCTGCAGATCCTCCTCGATGCCTACCGCTGGGGCAAACCCGTTGGCGCGCTCGGCGCCGTCACGGCCTCGACCGTCTTTGCGACAGCTGCGATCCCAGCCGGCCCCGGCGTGTATACGCAGAACTCGACGGACCTGGCCAGCTTCGTGGCGGCCTTCGAGGGTGGGCTGAGTACATTTCGGTTCGTGGACCGCTTCCCGTTGGATCCGTCCTGATGATCTCGTCGTCGTCGTTGTGGTCGCCGCCGTCGTCACGATTGCCAGAACCCACTGCACCAGCATCTTTGGAGATCGACCGACACGGCGATTTTTGTTTCCTTCCATCCTCTCTCACTCTCTATCCTCTGAGATTGAGAGAATTTCATTCCTTCATACTCCTTAATACATGCATTGCGCACGGTGAAATGGAATAAGGCGTCTTAGGTAGCTAACTAGCGAGAGAGCGTCATGCAATAAGCAATTAATTCTCGTACTCTATTAAAAGTGACGACGCTTGGACACTAAACTTGCCGTAAGACAGGCTCGTTCGGTTTCATTTACTCCCTTATATAGCTCCTCGGTCGTACAGGAGGCCGTGTCCAGTGGCCACCTAGTAAACCATATAAACTAAGAAATCAAGACGGGATTCTCCACCTCATTTGAGATGCGACTGTAACAGCCCCGAGCTAACCATCCGTAGCCCTGCAGCATGGAATGGTGGATCTCTACTCAATATAGATAGTGCCTAGTGGGCCTCGCTTTTCGACAAGTTCTAGCTAGCATGGGTGGCATCAAACACCCTTCGATGCGGAGACCAGACTAGCTTCCTCATTCTTGGATTTCGACTCGTCCAGAGGCAAATGCAATCCCAGCCTCTCACGTGTGGAGTAGGCCAGGATGCTTCCATCTGGGCCTGTCTCCGTCATGAGCTCTTTCCGTCGTGTATCCACCAGTAGCCGTATAAGATCAGATCGCATGTAGGCACCACCAAAGTCATTGATAGCTTTAGGCAAGTGCGTCTCGTTCAGGTCGATCTGAAAATGATAGATTTGTAAGGATCCGGCAACCAAGGAAACAGGCAGGACAGATATAATGCACTTACATCCGCAACTAGAAGCCCCTCAAAGTCTTTGTCTGCTTTGGCCACGCAGGTTCCGTCAGGAGCATAAATACGGGAGAATCCATTGTAATGATCAACATTCGCTTCAACCTCGACCCCGGGTGGCGTATTCTTCTTTGCACCTTCCTTGCTAATGATTTGGAACGGCGCCAAAGTCCAAGTGCAAGCCTCCATTGCATATGCCGGGGTGATCTGGTCGGCCCATGCATCTCCGGTATTTGTCTTCGGATCGGGGCCCTTCCTACTGCTTTCTCCAGGGCCAAGTGGCCATGCGGCAACGTGGATCTGCTCGCCGCAGGCGGCATTTAGGGATTTGAAAAATGGATTGAAATTCTCCGAGCAGTTCAGTTGCCCGAGTCGGCCGATCTGCGTGTCTGAAACTGACATGAAGCTGTCTCCTGTTCCATCGCCGAAGACGAGCTTTTCGACATGGGTGGGCTTGATCTTACGGCGGTGGTTGATAACATCTCCATTCGGCGCGATCAGCACTTGCGCAAGGTAACAAGTGGCAAGATCGATTTCAGAGAATCCCAGGGACACGTAGCTAACCTTCGTCTTAGTTCGGCACACTGGTTGTTGGGAGAGGACGATGACATGTGACTCTCTCTTGCCGCCCGCCTGATGCTTCTCATCAATTCGGAGTCCACCTTCAAACTGTTCTCCCGGTATGCTTTGATCAGAGGCAGCGATTCCAGGTAGTTTACCTCGTTATGGTGAGCTGCGCATCTTCCATGCCATGGTGCTGGTACACTGACCTTCCATAGCCAATATGGATAGCCAGGAATCCCTGAAGGTTAGTTAGTCCGTTTGCTGTGCAGTCTTGGCTGAACCATACACGTTTCGGGAAAGGCTACCAGTTTACATCCCGAGTTGCTGGCTTCTTTGATTCAGTGGATAGTCTTTTGGACACTCAGGTCCAGGTCGAACCACTTCGCTTTTGTGAGCTTTCTTCATCAATTCTCTGGTGTAGTGAGACGAACTCCCGGCTCTGCAACCACCTTGATAACTGTTAGAAAGGCTGTCAAAGTTGGTTACCCGGGAAGGGAAACTTACCACAGCGGCTTTATACTTGGAAAGGGTCGGAGGCATCCTGGGGCTGTTTAAGGCGATAGGCTGTCCTCACCGTGGAGAAATCAGGCCTACCTCCAGAAGTTAAGAGCTTTTGGAAGAGTGGTCCGGAATTCAGCAACGCTATCAGTACGGACATCGAGAAATTTTGCACGCATTTTATAGAACTCTCATAGAGAAATTGTCCTCGGATCGAATGCAAACTAAATGCGTGCCCATACAAATACGGACAAAGGGAGAAATGGTAACCTCGCTATCAAGTACCTATTCTGTGCCATTTTTTGCGAGCAGTGGCATTGACACGAACGGCATGCTGTGCAAGGTTGCCCCAAGTCTCATTATACTACTATGTAGGTAGCGCATTTCTCCCTACGGAGAAACAAAATCCGGGATGGGCGGAATTGATTGTCATCTGCCACCGCATATATGTATGATCTCAAATACCCTAGCAGTTTTAGATATAGCATTGTTTTCCTAAAAGAGTATAAGCCAGCACCTAGAGTCTATGAGGAAATGTTAAGTCTAAAAGTAATCCCCACAACGGTAATTATTACTGCTCCGACGCAACTTCTCTTTCCCAATCCTCGTTTCTGTGTTGTAACTCTAAGGAGGACGCCAGAAGGCAGAAGACACCGACGTGAACTGCGACGTTTGATATCGTAATCTGCCTCACATCAGCTAAGCCGTCTCAGGCTCTCAGCACCTTTCTGCTCCGTCTACCTCTCCGCCAACCGCGCAATGAGTGGGATTTGCTTTCGTTCCCCTTAAGAATCGTTCTGCATCCATTCGACAGAGTGTATTTTGGCAGGGAGGTCGAAAGGGAATGCTTAGCATTGAACCTCACTTACGCTCCTCCTCATTACCCGGGAGAGGGCTCCCAGCATGGAGGATCTTCAAGAATAAACATCATTCAAGGTCCGGAAGCAGGATGATGTATGCCAACAACTTTTGCGCATGAGATCAAAAATTTTGCTTTGCTCTCACTGTGGTGTCGTTAGCCCCGATTGGAAGCTGAGGCCGATTTTCCATGGTAACGGCTCCTCATGCTTTTCCTAATAATCTTCTTCTCCACCCCAATCCCGTGAGAGTTCAACTTCTTGTGGAACTTATAGATAGCCCTGGAATTCCCCTAATGCGGCAATTGAGAAAGCTCACTAGACCTAACTTTGGTCCCTGTCAGATCCTCTGAAATCCCTAAACATTTCTCGTGTCGTTGAAACATAAAAGAGCAAGAACTTCTCGGTCTCTGTCTTTTTCGGTTTCTTTTGTGCCTCGACGAAAGCCTTTCTTGTTAAATTGAGATAATTGTTTCGGTACTATGGACGGACCCGTCCCAGTGAGGACAGACATCCTCATCGCCGGAGGTACGTTTTCACTATCTCTCCTCGTTCACTCTCATAGCACTTCACGTTTCAACTGACCTCGAAGCCCGTCAGGGGGTACCACTGGTCTCGTGGTTGCCACTCGACTGGCGAAAGCCAACCCTCACCTCTCCATCACGGTTCTTGAATCCGGTATCAGCGTCCGTGACGACTCGTCAATTGTACATCCCGCCCTCTATCTCTCAAACATTTTACCAGGCTCCAAAACCGCGACATTCTACACGTCTAAAAGCAGCGAATCACTAGCTGGAAGGAAGTTGACCATTCCCTCGGGCGGCTGCCTTGGAGGCGGAAGTTCTATCAATTTCATGGTTTATTCACGGCCGCAGATGATTGACTTTGACGACTGGAAAACTGAAGGTTGGAGGGGAGAGGATATGGTTCCCTTTCTTAAGGTCGTATGTCTGCGTCAATAAATATGACAACGACGATGAGAATGCTAATCTAGGTCTCCTTCGCCGGTTAGTATGAGAATTTCCAGGATAACGATCCTAATATTGATCGAAGTTTGCACGGATATGATGGCGAATTCAGCATATCTCCCGGAACAAACGCTCAAGCCACTTTTCAGGAAGACTATTTCCACGCCTGCAGACAGATTGGAATTCCACAAGTACCTGATGTACAAAACTTGAAGACTTCGCATGCTGTCGGGGTGAGCGGATATTCTTCTATATTCTGGTTGACCGGCGCGCTGACTTGAGGCAAGCGGTGGAACATGTGGATAGATCAGAAGACCGGCTGGAGACAAGGCGTGCCTCATCGACTTCTCTATCCGCTTTTAGACCCGTACGAAACCGGCCTCCACGTGTTTACCAATATTAAGGTTGTGCGAGTCTTGTTCGACGAGCGGGAAAGGGCCACTGGTGTTGAGTACGTTCCTGTGGGGCCTGATTCTCACGCGAAACCGTCCGTCATTAACGCTACCAAACTCGTCGTCCTCGCCGGCGGGACGTTCGGCACTCCGCAGATTTTACAACGTTCTGGGGTTGGCGATGCTCATCGCCTTTCAAAACTCGGCATCCACGTTGTGTCCAATCTGCCAGGCGTTGGTCAGAACTATCAAGATCACCACGTGATCTTCTACCCATATAGATCTACTGCTAGTCCCTCAGAAACAATTGACGGAATTATCAGCGGCCGTTTCACCCTTGAATCGGCACTCGAGCAAAAGAAGGCTCAGCCCACTCGTTACCTGCTGGGCTGGAACGGGCTCGATTGTGTTGGTAAAAACCGACCCTCTGCCGGTGATGAAGAGCTTCTAGGACCCGAACTTAGGGATGTTTGGGAACGTGACTACCGACCTCGTCCGACACGGCCCTTGATGCTAATGTCTTCCCTGGCAGCGTTCGTTGGAAATCACACTGATATCCCCCCTGGTCAACATTTCAGTCTAGGACCGTATACGCCGTACCCTTACTCCCGTGGGTCAATACATATTACGGGTCCCACGGTTTCAGATCCGCCTGACTTTGATTGTGGGTTCCTGAACCATCCTGCTGATGCCCAGAAGCTCCAGTGGGGATACAAGAAGCAGAGAGAGATTGCACGGCGCATGACGCATTATCGCGGTGCCCTAGAAGTTGGACATCCCATCTTCTCCGAGGAGTCGAAGGCAGGATTCAAATTTGTCGACGACCAAGACCGGAAGAGCAGGCGCTATCAGCCAATCGAATATTCTGAGGAAGATGACCAGGCGATTGAGTTATTTATTCGGCAGAATGTCAGCACCGCATGGCATAGTATGGGAACATGTGCGATGAAGACAAAGGAGCAAGGTGGGGTGGTGGACCCGGGGCTGAACGTCTTTGGAGTCCAGGGACTGAAGGTTGTTGGTGAGTGTTCTCTTATGGTTGGACTAGTTGGAGACTCACAAAAACTTGCATAGATCTATCGATTTGCCCGTCCAATGTCTCCGCCAACACATATGCGACCGCCCTTACGGTAGGCCACAAGGCTGCCTCTATTATTGCGGAAGAATTGGGCTTGTCTTATTCCATCTGAACTGAGCTGTGTGGCCGCCAGCATAGCAGCCAGCTGCGAAGGGCCATACAGTATTTAGCCAGGTGGATGTTAAAGGCCAAAAAGGTAGATGTTGGAACAAAACACTCATTGTTACCGAAGTTGACGATGCTCAACATGTAGCTGAAGAGAGACCTGAGCTTCAAGTTCTGGAATTTCGTATCTCCATTGAGAACTAACCTTGTTATATACAACACCTTCGTTTAGACTTCGTTGTCGATCATTCCTTGGTGTTGCAACCTACCTGTTCCCTTCCACAATCTCTCGATCGCCAGGCTCTTCAAGGCCAACAGGGATTCCGAGTCTTCCTATTCCTCAGTCAAGGCATTCAGGACCGCGCTTACAGGTCCAGAGTACAAGAACCAATACGAGTATTAGGAATGGCTTTTTTTGCACATCGGCCAAATGTCTATATCAACAAGAAAGGAATCGTCGTAAGGGCAGATAGAGAGACATCTCGAAGGATAGACCGATGCCATCAACCATCTGGACAGTTCTCAGTGTTACACATCTCCATTCATTCCACTAAATAGTCATCTGATCGAAGCGGCCTCTGAATGGGTAGCGCCACGTTGGGTCAGACTGAACGCTCGGAATCGGGTTGTCGATTCATCGGACAACGATCGATGTAGGGACATACTCTTCCGCGGATGAGGAGGTCACCCTGCCACTTTTGACTTGGTATACCTCGTATTAAAGCGGCAGATCCAGCCGGTAAGTGTTGACCCACTCCCTCATTCTGGGCTCTTCCTTAAGCCTTTGGAATTGCTTTGGTAGAGGGAAGTGGTGAGATACTTCTTAAATACGGTGTTCTCGAAAACTGTCGTTCTGTCGTACCTGGTCCTGGCGCGGTGGTTAAAACAGCTTGCGCGGGATGTACGAGGTAGACACAGTAATATCTCCCAAGAGCCATTGAAATGGCGTTGATTGGCTGTCGCGACTGATCCATTAGTTGGCCTAGGTAACTTCAAATTGACAAGTCTCAGATGTATACGTTGTCGTAATATTTGTAAATGGTCGCTGTGGTATATTCTATTAGTGTAGCCCTAACCCTCTACGGTAGATATCATCCTTGGTTTCCTTGGTGATTTCGTTCTTGTAGAACTAAAAGAGTTCTACCTCTTCTGGTCGGGACCTAAGGGGTTCAAAATGTGCCAGTGGATTGGGAAACTGCGGGGATTATGGCAGATGATTAACTCACGACGTTCGGAGGAATGACGATGCAGCCCTTTGCTCTGTGTTATACTTGGCACGATAGCAAGGTGTTCCATCTATTATCGATCCTTGACATGGCGCACGTGAAGTAAACCGAGCACTGGAATCCCCTGCATCGGTAAAGAAACTTGAAATTCTGAGGAGAAAATAGTTTCTAATTCACAGAAGCATGCTTAGGTGGCCCTTTCACAGCCATCCCTGATGGAGCGGGAGCAATGAAAGTTCAAGGATCTCGCGCTTGCTTGGTTCACCACACAAGGAGCTTCACTGGACTGGGTGTCGTGTTGCAACGGATTTTTCAAAATATTTTCGAATAGATTCCATTTCTGTTGGGCGGGTTCTATTCTGACGGCAAGGTCAAGGTCCATGCTTCTCCCAATAGTGAAACACTCTTGCCTCCCTGCAAAAGGACCTCACACGCGCCTCAGACATTTCCAGGATGCGTTTTAGCTGATATTGCCAGAATCCATTCGTTTCCTGCCCCAGATAAACCAGCAGAATGTATAAAGATGTTTCCGTTTGTCATTAAACTCGTTCCTTACGTTTGTGAGCAGGATCTGAACCTCCACTTCTGACCACCCAAGCGCCCGAGTGAGATATCCTAGTGTGACGGCTTCGACAGCTTCATTCATCTGTGCTTGGAGGAATACCCCTATCCGACGAAGTTTCTCATTTTTCGGCCATGCGCCTATCGGAGTCTGGGCTCCAAGATCTCACTCCGTCAGAGTGTGCGCCATGCTTCTGCCACTGGGGAATAGAAAGGCTGATTGTGGATTCGATAATAAATATGGCGGGAGTCTCACTCACCTTGATTACTTGAGTCTGTATGTCGACAAATCCAGCTTCTTCGAGGTGGGCCTTGAACCGAGATGCATAATTCAGGCGCCGGCCGAGCGCAAGACTGCCCTCGTCGATCAATTTCTGCCATTTGGCGATGGCCGAGTCGTCCGACAAGCCCTCAGGCGACTGGGAGGAGAACCAAACCTCGAATTCCTATATCTCGAGCCAGCCGCCTGGTTCGAGAGACACTAGTGCTTGCTTGTACATTGTCGACCAGTCTCCGATGCTTCCAGACATGCTGCGCTGGTGTATGTTGTCGAATCTGCGACGGGGTGAGTAGACCAATTCTTGCTCCAGACCATCGATCATGAAGGAACAATTCGGAGCAGTCCTGTTCCATTTTAGTTAGACATCGTTTGCCCAAGCTTGAGTGATGTGACATGATTACATTTGCGGCTGGATAGGACTAATATCAACCCCTGAAGTAATTAGTAAGGAGTTTTGCTCGAGTTTACGGCGAAGCACTTACCGAGGACTATTGCCGCGGGAAACTCACTGAAACCCATCAGAATACGCTACTGAGCGCCAATGAGGTCGAAAATCCTACTCTGCGAAGTCTAGCGCCCAGAGTCCCGTCCCAGTACCGATATCCAGCACCCTCTGTGGGTTCCCAATTGGGGCGACGTGGAGCCGGCCATCTTGCACGAGGCGATAAATATGGCGGACCATATCTAGTTGTTCTTGTTCCCGCACATCGTTGGGCTGACACAGGTTAGCATAGTCTGCGTTTGCATGCTGAGGGATCGCACAAAGATGTAGGAACTGCCGGCCATTTGCTGATATCTTCTGCCATTCTATACCACGTCGTCAATGGACCGTGAAGCCATGGCCGAGCATTGTGGAGGACTTGCCTCGTATCTGCATCATCATTAGCAGACAACAAACAGTCCGCAATGGGCGCAAACTTCCGCATAATTCAACACAGACGAACGGAGTGATGTTGTTATTGAAGCTGCGTCGCTGGATCTCCATCAGCTCCGGTACATATCTCAAGTGCATGAACAAACCTTCCCCCATATCCTGGATCGACATCATCTGCGCTATCTTCGGCTATCTGCCCGATTCTTTAGCACCCGCACTGACCGCCTTTGCTGCTCGCCGACTTGCCTGGGCATCAATATGTGCGGCTTCCTCCATGGGGCCAATTTCGCTGGATCCTGAGCGTGGGTGCAAGTCGAGCACATCACAAACAACCTCCAAAAAGGATGGCACTGATGGAAGAAATGTCAATCCTGCAGATGTTGGTGCTGTTCGCGAGGTCTTAACTAGCACCGACGGAGTCCACCAAAGGTAGCGTGGGTGGTCCCGCATGTCTAACTTGTTGAGCCGGGGAGAACGGACATCACCATCCGTAGTCGCCGGCGCGGACCGCGTCATGCAAGGACAAGTAGGGGAAGACTGATTATTTGAGTACGGTAGACGCCAGACGGCGCTCGCTGCGGGCGGGTCGAAGAAGCCTAGTTGCCGTAGTGGGATTACACTCGGTGGTTTTTATGTACTTCGTACTCAGTGGAGATACCATTCCGGGTGTAGCAGTACTTTGAGTCCACCAGTCCGACTAACAACAATATCTCTCTTGCAGATGGCAGCCGTTAGCTGCCACTCTCCCAGGAAGAGGGACCTCGTCGTTCCCGGCATCTTTATCTTCAACCGTGTACCTGACAGCCCCCTCCTCACCCTCTGCATTACATGACGGGTGTCCCCTCTGTAGACCTGTCTTCGTACGTTTAAGGCCATGGCTCATCGGTGTTACTCCGAATAACGAGCAGCAAGCTGGCTGATAAAATGTACCACAAACAGGAGTTATGGCCTGGCTTGAGAGCCCAGGTGCCTTCCCTACTGAATTGTTGTACGTGTTTGGGCCCGTATTAGCGGCGACTTATCTTCTTGCCCTGGCGAGCTGGCGCTTGTATCTGTGCCCGGCAGCGGAAATTCCTGGGCCGGCATTGGCAAAACTCACGTACTGGTAAGACAAGATTCACAGATTCCACGAGCCACAGTCCCTCAACCCACTCACCACCTAGGTAGGTACGAATTCTACTACGATGTCATTCTCAGCGGTCAGTATATCTGGAAGATCCGGGCCATGCACGAGCAATACGGCCCGATTGTGCGCATCAACCCGGAGGAAGTCCACATCCAGGACGCCGACTACTATGACCAAGTGTATGCGGGATCAACACACAAACGGAACAAATGGACCTTTTTCACAAACCAAAGTGGACTACCACAGTCGGCGTTTGGGACTCTAGACCACAATCTCTACCGTATGCGCAGGGCAGCGTTGAACCCGTACTTCTCCAAGGCCAAAGTGCGGAGCCTACAACCTCGCATCGAGTCTCGACTGAACAATCTGCTAACTCGATTTCGCGAGTTCCAAGAGTCCGGGGAACCTATGACGGTATCTTTGGCCTATGCGGCACTCACGAACGGTTGGTTGGTTCCGCTCATCGTCAGAACGTCCTAACCAGGCCGGACAGACGTCGTCATGGAGTATGCATTCGGTCGCAGTGACAATCGACTGCTGGCCCCCGACTTCGACCCGAGTTTCAAAGAAGCGGGCGAGGCGGGGGCCAAATTGGGTCACTTTGTTAAGCAGATGCCGTGGGTGTTGACTCTGATGAAATTTCTTCCCGACTCGGTACAGATTGCTTTGAACCCGGTCATGGCAAGTTATATAAAACTCAACAAGGTATGGTCTTCCAGGATTGAGACATCAACGTCTTGGGATCAACTGTGAACGGAGAAATTGATACTACTAAACAGGACATTATCCGCCATGTTTCCGAGATCTACTCACATCGCGGCGATACCCATGGTAAATATAGCTCGCAAACGACCATCTTCCATGCGATCCTGCAAGGTGATTTGCCCGAGAAGGAAAAGTCTCCCGACCGCCTTTGGCAAGACGGGCAGGTGGTGGTTATTGCCGGCACATTGACGACCGCCGCGGCGCTCTCGGAACTCACATACCATCTCCTACGACAACCCATCGAACTAAGGCCTCTCAAAGATGAGCTGGCAAAGGCCATGCCAGACCCAGCAGCTGTCCCGGATATTGCCAGGTTGGAGCAACTCCCGTACCTCACGGCCGTCATCAGAGAGAGTCTCCGTTTAAGCAGCGGCATCAGCACGCGGTTGCAGCGCATCGCCCCAGACGAGACACTCATCTACAAGGCCAAAGTCTCGGACGACAAGAAGAAAACCGCCTGGGACAAGGAATACATCCTTCGTCCGGGGATCCCTCTCTCCATGACCGGCCTGCTCATCCACCACTCGCCGACCTATTTTGAAGATCCCATGGCGTTCCGTCCGCAACGATGGATCGACAATCCGACTCTCGAACGATATCTCGTTCCGTTCTCTCGTGGAACCCGAGCCTGCGTGGGCATGAACCTGGCGTATGCGGAGCTCTACCTCACGGTGGCAGGCGTGTTTAGACAGTATGGGAGCCGAGAGGTCCGCTTTCCAGAGGACCAGGGATTTCTGGAGCTATACGATACAAGCTATAAGGACATCGAGATCATTGGTGATGGAGTGACCCCGTTGTACCGGCCGGATAGTAATGGAGTTAGGATCGTGGTGCGTGCAGTGTGACCTTTCTGCCGTAGGTTGTGCGGATGGCCTGCTTATTCAATTGGGTGGCTGTATCGAGAGCCTATACTGGATATTATTCCATCTACTGTGGTCTATCTGGCGCAGGCTGCCGGCATAACAAGCTGGTACTTAATCCCGAACGTCGGCACGAGATGCTAGGGAGGTAACAGGTTTCAAATGTTTCCGTCCATTCGCTCTGTCGCGTCAAAGATTGCCCTCGTCCCATAAGAGTGATGATGTTCGCCTCAGTTGGTCACACTTCTTCACTGCTCTCCGGCTGGGTCGGCCATTGCATTTGCCACAGCAATAGGCAGAGGGACCGGGACCTGGGTCGGAGCCGACATCGGGGTCGGGGTCGGGCTAGGGGCAGGCGTAGGAATAGGAGCTCCCTGCGGCGCGCCACTCTCTCCCGGCACCGGCACTCTCGGCCCTGGGCTCACGGAGGGCGGTCTGCTGGCGACGGGTTTTCTCTGGGGAGGAGAATGGGCCATGTTCAAGCCGTTGGCGCTACCAGGTTGGAGAGTATTATTGGCGTTATTAGGGGGAGGCGTGTTATTAACGTTGTTAGCGTTGTTGGCGGGATTGGTATTATGCATATTGTTAGGATTGTTGACGTTGTTAGGGTTGGTAGAGTTGCCGACCCCGTTGATGCCGTTAACGTTGTTAGCGGGCGCGCCATTCGACTGAGGCTGTGGTCCCGGTCCCGCGCTCGGGGGCTTCTGCGGCATATTTGGGTTCGGGTTTGGCCTTGGACCGCCGGCCTGAGGGTTGACAGCACCCGCAGGTCTAGTCATCCCGCCTGCTGGATTTCCATTGACGCCTTGAGGATTGGTAGGACCGCTGGGTCTCGGCGGTCCACCAGCATTGACGCCCTGAGGATTGGTAGGACCGCTAGGTCTCGGCGGCCCACCTGCCGGATTTCCACTGACGCCCTGAGGATTGCTGGGACCGTTCGGTCTGGCCGGCCCGGCCTGGGTATTCCCATTGACGCCTTGGGTATTGCCAGGGCCGCTAGGTCTGGCCACCGCGCTTCCCACACCGGGAGCCGCAGTAGCCCCTGATGCGTCCTTCTCGTTAATCCATTTAAACACAAAATACATTCCGATGCCGCAAAGCCAGACGAACACCCCTACCCCGGTGGTGAAGAATAGGGTCGGTAAGAGAATGATTAAGGCAAACCCCGCCGCGACGGTCACAAACAATAGAACTCCGAGCAGGACCACAAGTACGCCTGCCAACAAGGCGAATGTAAAGACTGTCACGGTCATGAGCCCGAAGAGAAGGAGCGGAAGGCCGCTGATGGCAGTTTGACTGAGCAGGAAACTTGCAAGGTACGGTCGTTCGGTGGCGAATTTGATCAGCGCGGCCTTCCACTGTTGACGTTGCCGGGGCGGGAAGAAGCGATCGAGATAGCTGCCGGACAGGTTCGCAAGGTTGTTGACGCCGCCTTGCACGATGGCGGTTGCGGCGCCCATGCTGGGCCCTGCCGTGCCAGCGCCGGCGCCAACGTTGGGCTTTGGAGGAGGCGCGGACATCAAGTCTGGGATTCTCGATGATTGTCCAGGAAGGACAAGGTGAGGTGGTCTTGAGACGGTTTTTCGAGATCTGGCGTGTCAGATCAGAGAGATGATGACCGGCTTATTCGTAGAGGGCACGCTTTGTTGTGGAGATGAAGGGCGCCAAAGCTTCACACGTGATCGCCTCTGGCATCTATATCTTGAGAAGGTAATGAAGAGATGGATATTGCATTTGCGTTTTGTAGGTGCCGCAAGTGAGGATGCTGCTGTTGTATGTAGTTGTAGTTATAGTTATCGATGGTGTTGATGTTGTGGCTGGTGAGATCAAGGGGGGGCGGCAGGGGGCCAATACTCGGGACTTTTTAACTCGGTGCATAAGACCACCAAGACCTAAGATAGTGATAACGTAATGTCTAAGTTTATATCCAACTCTGACCTTGTTGATCCTTCGGCCTCCATTTGGTTCAAAGATAGATATTGATTACATGCAGCGGCGGGCCTCGTTAAGCCCTAAAGGGAAAAGGCAATTAAAACTGGTGGACATGAACAGAGCGGTACGGCATTCTTCGCCCTCCTCCTGGTAAGCGACAATGCTCACCCATGAATTATAACGATGGACCAATACATTATCAGCGGGCAGATATTTGATCGCTCCGCTCATTGATTGTACCAAGGACTAATAATCAAGCTACCCGTACAATATTACTCGATTAATTCCTCGTTTAATCACCGAAACCAAAGCACGTATCCTTGCTCTTCCTGGTACAGCATTCTCAACATCGCAACGTTGAACTCGTCAATGGACTGCAGTCCACGGCGGTGGAAAGTATCCCAGATCATTCAAAAAGGTTCGGCCAGCACCTGGGTCGCCCCCGCGTGAGCGAGGATTGTTCGACAGGCATCCATCATGGCTGGGACGCCACAGAGATAGAAGTCGGTCGTGGCGGGATCGAATTTGAGCTCGGCCAGTATATCTGTCACCCGTCCATGAAACACACCCTCTGCCAACGGATCACCGTCAACACAAACCGTAGTTCGTGGCAGAGGCTTGAAGAGGCGTGTAATGTCATCTTCCCGGTGATAGCAGCCGAAGAGAAGCTCGGCCGAGTCGAGTTCGCCAGAAGCCGCCAGCGCTACAAACATTGGCAGAAATGGCGCGATGCCCGTGCCTGTAGCGACGAAAACCCGACGATGGGAGTTGCGTCGCAGTTGAAAAGCCCCAAATGGCAATTCAACTTCTGTTTCCTCGCCCGACTGGACGCTATTGGCAAAGACGGACCCGTCACCACCGGTGCGAGTGCTAACAAGCAATGTCAAGCTTTTACTCTCAGACTTGGCGATCGAATAGTTCCGCCATTCGAAGGGTGCAACGCGGAGCAGAACGTATTGGCCAGGTGCACAGGAAACCGGTTCGTCGAGTTCAAATTCAAGTTGCCAAATGGACGGTGTGAGTGCAGTTTTGCTAACGAGCATGGCGCGGTTCTTCTCCGACGAGCGTGTCGCCGCCGTCAATGGGAGTTCAACCGCTGGTGTGGCACGACGGGACGCCCACATGATGCGCAGAAAGCCGAAGGGACCAAGCACTCGACTCGCCGCCAGCACACCACCGAACAGTGCTCCAACCACTCCAAGACTCGATGCATCGGTCCCACTAATCTGCAAGCCGGCGACTGGCGATGGCTTTGATAGCACAGACGAAGCGTAGGTCTGCGTTGTCCCCTTAAATCCGTAGATGGCGCCAGCAGCATGTGAGGTGTAGTCCTCCACCGAAAGAGGCGTCGACAACTCGGAGTAGTGCAGCAGTTCCTTGAGCCCCGGCGTAGCACTCTCAGCCAGGTCCAAAAGCCCCCGAGAGATCCGATCCTTGAGTTCGATGTACTCCTTTCCCCGCGCGCCATGGCTTGTCCCACGCCAGGCCGAAAAAGCGTCCGCCTTGACCAGAGCGAGGATTTCGGCGGTGTGGAAACGGTTATCACCAGACTTGGCTGAAGGAAATGACATGAACACATGTTGAGGCTTGCCCGCCAGAACCGCCTCCGTCTGGGCGTTGATGTCGTCATGATCGAAGGTGGTGTTGATCCAGTAGTTCTCGCCCTTGACGCCGAGAGTTGAGACGGGCTCATTGAGTCGAAGATAGAGAGTGACAGCGGAGAACCCGCACTCGAGCTGGCCCAACTGCTTTCGTATTTCAGCGGTCTGCCTGCCAATCACGCCGTCTGTGGGCAGCAGCTGCTTATACGTCGCTCCTGCCCCAACGTCTGAAATGACAATAGGTGAGAGGTAGATGACCTCGGTAGGCTCAGCTCCGCGTCCGTCAATGGCCTTCACGCCCACGACGCGCGTACCTTCGGTGAGGATCGCGGTGACATTTTGACACACTTTCACGGCGCCACCGTTTGCTTCGATCCCTACCTCAAATGTTCGCGCGATGCGGCTGGCTCCCCCTTTCGGGAACCAAGCTCCTTGCAAATAGCTTCTAACGACAAGCGAATGCTGTGCGAAGGCACTTTCGCTCGGCGGCAACCCGTAATCCATCCATTGGCTGGCGAGCAAGGCCTTGAGTTCTGTTGATTTGAAATGCTGATTGAGATAATCGCCAGTAGTTTGCAACGCGTGATGTGAACTTAGTCGGCGCCACCGCTCCAGCAAAAAGTTGAGCGGCCAGGGCAGTATGGATTGCATGATTCCGCGCGTATGCCAATCGGCGGCTTTGTTGACGTCGACAAAGTAGCGCCGAATTGCAGCGGCTTCCTCGGGAAAGCGTTGGATCAGCCGCTCCTCGTAGCGAGCCTTGTCCGAAGGTTCGGCGAAGCTCAGTCCTGGGTACAGGAATCGTTCGAAGTCATCATCCATTGGATTCCAGCCAAGAGACTCGCCTGACATGAAGTCAAACAACCCGCGGATTGGGGAACCAGGCTGCACGCCGCCAACATAGTGGACTCCGACATCCCAACTGGCCCCGTCACGACGAAATACGTGAGTCAAACCTCCTCGTTCAGAATGTTTTTCGAGCACCAACACCTTCATTCTACCAACCTTTGCCAGAAGCGCAGCCGCCGCCATGCCACCAATCCCCGAGCCAATGACGATCGCATCCCATTTCTGAGACATGACCCGCTTCTTGTTGTTCAAAGGAAGTAGTGATGAGAAATGGTCGCCCAGAGACGATTCAAAGACAGGGTTTAAGGAGAGTAATTAATGTGAATGCCCCGTGTGGGGATCTGCTAGGCAACTGTGGAAATTATTGCAATGGGATATGAGCAGTTATTGTCCCAAAGGTGTAATGGTGAGGGAAGTCTGATACCCACCTTTGCCATGGATATATACCTCCTGCATTCAACCTGACATCTTGTTCGGACGTAGCAAATCACCACTTACGGACGAGTGCCAAAAAACGTGGGCATATTTAGTACTTCCAGTCATGTAGAATCAAGATCTCTCATGATAATTACAAGAGCATAGCCGAGTGAGGAGGCCCAAAAACGCCCATCATAACACCGTGTGCAAGCGAGAGCCGCGAAACGTCTGGGAAGCGGCCAGAGATACCTGTAGCAAAGTTAGTTTAACGGCCGCAAGAGACAAGCACACTATGAGAGCAGGCTGGCCGACCCGGGGATGGTCGAATTTATCGGCCGTCCGTCATCGGTCACTCCACACTAGAATCTCACGCCACATGTGCATCAAATACCCAGATCTACCATAAGGCTCGATGGTTTGCGGAGGAGTGGTGCCCGTGGAGGGAAGCGTAGGAATGGATTTTTGGAGCATTTCATTGGTCAGAAGAGTGGAAGGGCTGGAATTCAACCTCGTTGTTCGAGAAGACGCAGCAAGAATCAGAAGTTGGTATGTAGCTATCCTATCACACACACGTGATTTCGCGAGTGGCTCAGCCTTGGCGCGTTTCTCAGACGCGTCGCGACTGCGCCGCTCTAGGAGTTTCGGAGTCTCGGAGTCTCATCAAATCGTACCAAATCATTTCAGGCAATTTGAGGAGAGACAAATTTCTCTCGTGCACGTAGTTTTGATTCCGACTACGCCATCACAACTTCTCTATCTTTCAATGAAACCGCCTCCGCAGCTTTCGCGTGTGCCTCTGCGCTAATATCACCAATCTTCCGCTGGACCTCCCCAACACCATGAAGAGGTGGAGGATGATGGAGAGACCGATAAGGCCACTTGTTATCAAGATTCTCCTTCCCAACCAGGCGATCGTGACTATGTTGCCGATACTTCCGAAGATTGGCGGCGTTTGGAAGACCCAGGTCGTGAGAAGAAATTTGCTGGTGCTGTGCCCGAGACTGGCGAAAAGAACGGACTGTCGCAGCACGGTCGATTGAAATATCAACCGTGACAAGGAAGAAGAGCTGAGAGCGCTCCCGTACCTGAAGATAAGATGATATGGGTCCCATTGATCTGTAAACTGGTCTACCTGACTACGGCGAACTGCTCGGTGTAACTCGTTTTCGTCGGTGAACGGGTGGAAGACATTGGCACTAGCGGTCTCTCATCGCTCTTGTTCCAGCCGGGCAGCCATTTATCGATGTCATCTTTCTCCCAGGAGTGAGCCGCGTGGTCGTTTTGGAGCCGCTGCGGCCTCGTTCGAGCTTCTTCAAGTTGCCCTCTCACTAAAACTAGCTATGATTGTTGACCAAGTCAGCAGATCAGCAACAAAGAAGGCCACTTTGCCACTTACAACCGCGGAGAGAAGGGGATGAAGAAACCGCCAATGAATACCACAGGTGTCCGAAAACCTTGCAGAGCCACAGGAAGTCTCCTGAAACGGGAGGGATCAGTCTTCACCATCTAGTATTCAAGCAAAAAGGAGGATCTCGCCGTTGAAGCTCTGGATTCGAAGCATGTTGGGTGCTGAATCCTGTAAAGGCTGTCATCAGCTGGTCTCCCGAATGGACGCTTACAATATGGACAGCAAACATGGCGAGAGGGAAGGTCCGTCAACAATACTCTATAGCTCAAATCAAAGCAGAATGTTTGCGAATATCGTCCACACGGTAAAGTGGCAGAGCTCCCAGCAGCGGACGAGGCCATTTATATATCCAAGCAGTCGCTGTCGTTCAACTGGGAGGGTCAAACTTAGTTTGACCGCACAGGCTGAATTGGACCAGCCGAGTTGGAGGTCCGAGACGAAGCAAGTGGAGACCGAGAGGAGGGCATTTTGCTGTACCTCCACAATATCGCACTCACACGGAATAGAAAGTCCAACACCTGGAGTCTCAATTGCTTGGTTTAATGCTTCCTACGTTCGTCCCCACAAGTGGGGAGCGCAACTACCTCCATATCCCCGCTCTGCAAAGCCTATCGACGTGTTGGGAACTGCCACGTTGACGGACCATCGATATGTATGGTTGACGGTTCTTCGCATTGCTAATATTGGATATATTGCAGGTTCAGAGCTATTCTCTCGCGGGCACGATAATAAGCCTTTTCCCACTGACCTGGCCCTGGCGGAGCAGATTCCAGGCCTCCGGCACTTTGGACAACCCCAGTTCCATCTGCAAAGGGAGAGACTTCAGACGACGATCCGCAAACGCAGCTTCAAGATACTCCCACCAGAACCACTCGGTGAATTGGGCGTTTTTGGGATCGAGATAGTCGTCGAGAAATTGATGGAAGTAGCCGGTCACGCCTTCTGGTAAGCGCACCCCAGTCCGCACACCCGTCGCGGTTAGAAATTGTCCTCCTCCCTGGGCCGCAAGCACGTCTCCAATCTTGACTTGATCCTCTGCTGAGTCCGCGGCGGCGAGCACCGCTTTGAATGGGCCAAGAGCAGAGACTTCTTGCACGACGGTGGGAGAAACCCTGTCGACGAAGTATGACAAGCCGAAGCCCGTGGCCAGGACCGCGTGCCTGGCCGACGCGACTCCCACAACAGTGTATCCTGCCTGCAGAGCTAGCTGAGCTGATATTGCACCGAACGAGGACGAAACACCCCAAATGAGGACTGCCTCATCCCTTCGAGCGGCGGGCGACCTAGTGGGTGGTTTTTCTAGACCCAGATGCAGGCACAGAGCGCTTGCACAGCCATAGCCGGTCACAAGCGAGGCGGCTTCCTCGAATTCGGTCTCTCCGATCTATCGCACTGTCAAAAGCCGACGAGTTTTATTCCCGAGACAGCAGCCATACTTTTGACGTCAATCCTTGTGGCGCAAGCGCATATTTCTGGTAAGCACCAAAGCGATGGTCATTTCGTAGTACGCCGGTTGTGTTGGTGGCGACACGATCTCCTGGTTTGAACCTTGTGACTCCAGCGCCCACCTTTTCCACCATACCAGACAGGGACACTGGGACATGGTTTGTTATTCAGCAATGTAATTCAAGATCGTGGGAAGGTGGCCGGCGGATGTTTCAACGTACCCCCAATGATTGTAGGGTAATTCAGCGGCATCGGTATGAGCCCAGCTTGTAGTTTCCACTCACCAGGCTGGGCGGGAATCGCTTTCACCTTCCCCGTTCAGTCAGTGAAATACTAACTATTGCTAGTCGGCACCCGGAGCCTACTCTGATAAGAAGTTCGCCTTCTCCGGGTTCTGGTACTGGTGCAGGACCTATTCGTGGTTGTTGGGCCAGTCCGTCAATCCATACTGCAGTATTTTCCATTGCCTCTTGGTGGCTAAGTCTCAATTCCTTGGATTTCATGCGAGGGTAGTGACGCACTAGGGATGCCGTGACCGGGTGAAGTATATAAACGACCCTCGCGCATGATTCCAAATCACGGCATTTTCTGTATGTGGCGATTAGCTATTTGCTCTGCCGCGCCCATGGTGCTTTATGGAGTTCCTTACAAAATAATCTTGCCGGGATACGGGGAGGATACCTTGGTGAGAGAAAGTCGCTCTTCACTGGTTGCTGTCCGCAGAAGCCTACCAACGGCGTGCGGCAAAGTTCTTGTTGGCCGAGCCTACCACCACAGTAGCGATGCTTCTAATTTGTGGGAAGCTCTCTCGGTCGCTTGAATGGTCGCGGCGACCAATTTGCTCTCGAAAGGTCAGCTTATATGGATAAAAGGAATTGCTTTTGTGCTTCTCGACTCACAGGTTGTTCGTGTACGGCCATGCAATCAAGACCATCAGATCTGACCAAGCATGGCTGGTGAAACAAAATGTTCACCTTCCGGTTTCTCTATCGCTGTTATGCTACTATATGGCCATGTCCTTCGCGTGTTGCTCCTTCAGATCATGCTTCTCTAATGGCTAAATCTCTTTTAGTCCCAACAATCCAATCATCTGATTGGATTTTCATTATTTCGTCCGGTCCAGCTTGGGCTTCTACTCCGGTAAACTGCCCTAGGGTCAACATCCCTACCGAGGACGTTCGACTATGGCACTCCCATGTCCCATGAAGGCACTTCTTGAGCCCACTTCTGCTGCTGATGAACTCATCCTGGACGCATGCAGACTCAATAATCGTTTCCATGCATATCCATCCCATGACTAGAGTTGGGTACTCCCAGCAATATACATTGCGACCTCGTTGAATCAGAGGTGACATGGACTCCAAGTAGTGCTCATGGTTTTCCATCCATCGAGGATGTCGGCGACTCCAGTAGAGATGGGGCGAAAGACGATCCCTGTAGGTTGACTTCCGTAGAATAGAAAGACATTAGAGAGGACAAGAATCCCGGTTCAAATCCCGCCTAAAGAGGTCGCGCTCGATTCCGTAGCCATGATGATGCTGTTTTGGTGCTAGGATCCTCCGCTATTTCTTTGCGGTGTCGGTGGTCGTTTTGGTCACCAAGCGAGACGTCACAAGACGAACCTATCCGGTAGCGGTCGCTTGAAACGATCTCAATATGATGACTAGAATGCGTGTGAAATGTGCATCCCCGCTACTGCGCCGTAATCGACATTGAGAGAGCTTGTCATTCTCTGCGTCGTTGTCAAATAGGGGCTCATAGTGGAAGACAAGACACTGGCTCCGCGAGTGTATAAAATGTCACACTTTGCAGGTCACCGCCTGCTTGTTCACGTCAGCTTTTGGATATATCATCAACGATCAAGTGAGCCGTTACCTCCAAAGTCTTGTTGCATCTTCAAAAATTACATTGGGAAAACACCACCAAGGCCCGGCTCAGAGTCGGCGAATCCGGCCCAAAACAGCTGGTTGAACGGGTCCAGGTCAAAGGCGTTGTCGACATAGGGAACATTGCACGTTTGGTGTTCCTGCGTAGCCAGTTGCGTTGGCATCTGGGCACCATTCGCTGCGGTCGAAGATGGAAGGCTTCTTTGGAGGCAGTTCTGATGATAGACCTTCATGTTGGCCCACTCAGTCGAGATCTTCTGAAAATAGCTGGAACTCTCAGTTTTGAGACGGTGAAGTTCTTGGGCTCGTAGGCATAGTGTGTCTAGACATTTCCCCAGCCAGGCAGCGCGTTGGGATGCCTCGGTGCTAACGTAGGCCGAGTCGAGAATGATGGATGATTTGGTGGACAGCATGATGATGAAATTCAGGGAGCGCCAATCCAGAGCTGTCCAGTCGGCCATCTCGTCCATGGGACACTCGAGGACCGACGAAAGGTATTTCATGGTGGAGTTGAAGCAGTCGTAGATGATCGACACGCGGGCCACGGACGGCGCTTGGCCTTGGAGCAGGCCATAAAGCCCGACCTCGCGCATGTATGCTCGAACGCTGTAATAAGAGCGTTTTATACGACCTGTATTTCCGGGTGTCTAATGAGTGGGTAATTCCTGAATAGAACGGCGGCACTTACCAATGTTGAAGACTCCTGGTGGAAGCGATACTTTCCATTCGTCCACCTGCCTTGACAACGCTCTGACCAGAATTTGGATTTTCTCGTCGCTGAGCTCACCGACTTTCTCTTTAGATCCGTGGTCGAAGGAGTAAGTGACCTCTTCGGCGATGCGCAAGGTGCGAATCATATGAATGAGTGTGGTATCCGAAGAATGTTGCGGGTCTGCGGCCAGGGAGGAAGCACAGTCTTCGAGATATTGAGTGTAAGTCAACATACAGGGCTTTCTGAACATAAATAAACCACTAAGCGTCAATTAGCAGCTTTCAAGATGAGGTAGTATGGGCTCATCTGTTACAAAGTCGAGATGGTGTACGCTCCGATATACGCTCTTCGGGCCTCATAGCCCCAGAACTTTGACGATACGGCCTCGTGTGTCTGTGCGAGGACAGTATTGGAGCCGACAATCATATCGTGCTGTGTGACGTTCATGGGTTTCTGGTCGATGCCGAGTTCTACCGCTAGGGCTACAACGAGTGATGCTAGCCTGTAGACTTGGGTCGCGACGGGGTGAGCATGCCAATGGCACCTGGAGAAGGTAAGAGTTTGTTCCTTGACATGGTGAGCCCGTGCTTACCAGCCAAAGTATACAATCAATGCTTGAAGGAGATCCAAGGACCGTTCCGACTTGTTAAAATATCTCTCTCCTAGGTCCTTGAGGAATTTGTCTTTTAATGCGGATTGCCGTGCTGGTGTCCGCCAGGTCGTAGTAATGAAGACTGCTTGGGCAAGCATTGGCCTTTCCTCGATCAATGAGGCGACTGGACAAGCTTCCGAGATGATGACATAGGGAAAATTGTGTGAAGACATGCGTCGATAGTCGTTGATCAAGTTCTGACACTCCTCCGGAGGTATCTCCAGCAAATAGTTGCTGGCGGCCTCGGGCTGGCTTGAATGGAAGCCTGGCGGCGACACCAGATCTGGACTCTGTGATAGCTGCGAGCATGTATTGGATGGCGTTGAGTTGGACATGGCGGAGGTGTCATTGGCCTCAGATAGTGACTTGCGGTCTCGAAGCAAGGATAGAATCTCCGAGTAGCTGCTCTCCAGCTGTTCCACTCGGCCACGTACTACCATCACATTAGCGAGCGGGCGTCCGAGTCGTGGCTTGCCAAATACCATACGGCGAGCTTTCCGCTTCCTCTGCTTGACTTCGGGAACTTGGCATTCTTTTCCCAATCTCACACATCTTGTCTCCCACACACATCACTAACTGGCCACCAAGGGAGGCTGGGAGTTACAACTTCGAGGCTTACCTGTTACACGCATCACCCCCCTCGTCGCTGGGCACACAACGCAGCTTCTTCTCCCTGCACTCCTTGCAGGCGGCATGCTTTCTTTCTTCCACCATTAGGTCTTGTTGCAGGGCCGGGCGAAACAACAATGTTCGACAGTTTCAACGCCGGAGCCGGTGCTCAAGAAGCCATATAAGACCGGTGTGGACTCTCCTATTAATTCACCAAGGCACCCATCTCCCATTTGAAAAAGACTCAGATGCGAGGGGACTTCGGGTCCGGGCGCAATAACGATGCCGACCATGCCGAACATCCGGGTCAAGAGAGGAGCATGGTGTCTCTTTAGCCGACCCGCTAACCGACTATGTTCAAACCTCCTTTCCTATCCTGCACGCTTGAGAACGAGATTCTATACAATATGTGGTAGGCTCGGGGCATCAAAACATTTCTGCCTGCGACGCCGAAGGCTGTGGCCGGCACAGTTATGTGACTTACCGATGATTCCAAGGTTGGTGGAGATTTGTTTGTAATGGCCGTTCAGTTGCATTTCGGATAAAGAAAGGAATACTTCCTCTCTTGTTCTCTCGGTGAGTAGCCCAGCACACGCCTTACAACCTACAGCCCGAGATCTTACGCTGCAACATGGATTCCAGCACGGAGAGCTCCCGGCTTGAGTCCGCACCAGCCGTTGCCGTGGACGTGGATGAAAAGTCGACTAATCTTGCCTCTGTCAGGCCAAACAACAGTGACCAAGACAGTCGTGCGCCCTCTCAACTCCCAACGGAGCAAGATCCGATCAATTGGTCCCAGTATACGCTCAGAAGGAGGCCATGGCGACGAAGGGTAACAGACTTTGCAAAAATCGTGGAGGCCAGGTATCGAGGCAGCGGACGCCCCGATGACCCCTACATTGTCCAGTGGTTGGACAACGACCCTGAAAACCCAATGAACTATAACATCTGGTTCAAGTGCTCGATGACCTTTCTTCTTGCCTTTATGACTCTGTGTGTGTCATTGGCCTCGTCAGCATATACCGGCGCTGCAGAGCTCATCATACCAGACTTTGATTGCAGCGGAGAAGTCTTCCTTCTGGGCTTGAGTTTGATGGTCATGGGCTTCGCGATAGGTCCTCTGGTATGGGCACCGCTTTCAGAAGCCGTCGCCAGGCGAGATATCCTGCTGGTCGCGCTGGCTTTCTATATCATGTGGACCGCAGTATGTGCCACTGCACAGGACATCACGACGCTGATTGTTCTTCGTTTCCTCTGTGGCACATTTGGCTCCGCTGCCTTTGTCATCCCTTCAGGCCAGCTCTCCGACATGTTCGAAGCTAGGCAGCGCGGCATGGCACAGGCTGTGTTTTCGGCGGCGCCCTTCCTAGGCCCAACCATAGGTCCTACTGTTGGAGGCTTCTTGAGCCCGGCTGCGGGATGGCGATGGCTCTTTGGCTTTCTGGCGCTGTACGCGGGAGTCCTGACCTTCTTGGGCCTGGCGTTTGTGCCCGAGACGTATGCTCCGGTCCTACTGCGAAGAAGGGCACAGCTCCTGTCGAAAGTAACGGGCAAGACGTACATGACCAGGATCGACATCGAGCAACCGCTGGTTTTCAAAGACGTGGTGAAGAGGTCGTTAAGTCGTCCTTGGGCACTCCTATTCCGCGAGCCCATCGTGCTGCTCCTCTCGGTATGTCCCCAGAAATGCACTTGGTTGCTTCCCAAAGGCTGACGGCTTGAAACCCCAGATCTACATGTCGGTGATCTATGGGACGCTTTATCTCTGCTTCGCGGCATTCCCTATCGTCTTCCAACAAGGCTATGGCTGGAACGCAGGCGAAGAAGGGCTCGCTTTTCTTGGAATCATGACGGGGAATCTCATCGGGGTCGGCCTCATCGTCATCGACAACAGGCGCTATTCTCGCATTCACGCAGCATACGGTGGCTTTGCGCCTGCAGAAGCTCGTCTTCCTCCCGTCATCATCGGCGGCGTTATTGCCATTGTCGGTCTCGCCTGGTTCGCTGCCACTGCCGACCCGAGCGTACATTTCATCGTTCCCATTCTGGCGGGCGTTCCTTTCGGCACAGGCTTCATCCTCATCTTCATGTGTTGTTCGAATTATCTGTAAGTTTTTTGTTTGTTTTATTCCCGCTGTTGCCTTTTTTTTTTAAAAAAAAAAAAAAAAAAAATTCCCGCTTCGTTGCTCTGCTCTCGATCTGACCAGAACTCTCCTCGCTTTCCAAAATGTAGCGTCGACACCTACGTGATCTACTCAGCCTCAGTGCTCGCCGGAAATTCCATCCTTCGCTCCACGTTCGGCGCCGTCTTCCCGCTCTTCACGACCTACATGTACAACAATCTCGGCGTGCATTGGGCCTCGGCAGTGCCCGGATTCATCGCCCTCGCGTGTTTCCCGTTCCCCATCTTCTTCTACAAGTACGGCGCCAGGATCAGGAGGAGGTGCAAGTATTCGGCCGAGGCGGCGAGGTTCTTGGACAGTTTGAAAAGCGACCTCGAGAGGCAGAGGAGTAGGGCTTCCAAGGCCGAGGAGGCTGGGGTGGTAGAAGCTGGGGGAGCCGCGGGAGAGGAACAGGTCAGGGAGGGCAGTATTGCTGTCACTGCTGCTTGAGAGGGAACTTTCTGTGGCCCAGACGGCCCCGTGTGTCAATCGGTTCAGCGAGTTGTGAACAGGTACGCAATGTATTAAACCAGGGTAATCCTCGGATAGATAAGTCTCAGTGTACATACTATGGGGGATAAAAGAACAGCTTATTGGAAGGATAGGATAGATGGACTGCAGACAAAATCTGGTCAAGTGTTGGCTATTTTGGAAGACTCAATTTGCTTGACTGTGCAGTTGCCCGAGCTCAACAGACTATGAGAACCAAAAGCTCCCTCGCTTCACTCTCTCGCAAACATGCCCGCGACCCATTCAATGGCACCTTGCATTTTCACTTTCGTCTGCGCCTTTCCTCCCTGCCGCTGTACAGCGGCCTTTTGAGATTGGTGCTCGGGCTGTTGCTCAAGCTCATCTATCGTCTGTCGTTCATGAACTTGGACATGCTCCTCCGCAAAGCTCTTCTCTCGACCCAGAAAACAAGCACGCCGCATCAACTCGGCCATTTCGAGTCCTTGGGCTCGTATCAGCGCTGCATGACCCCTAGCAAGATCTTCTACCTCCGAGCTGCCCGGATGAGCATCTTGCCCAGTTTGAGATGGCACGAAGATCTTCACATGAGGCAATGTGACGGATTCGGGAAGACCGACAGCGGGCCAGCGCCTGAGGACTTTGCGGCGGCGGGGTTGTGTCTTGGGCATCAAATTTGGTCCGGTGTCTTTTTCGTCACTCCAAATTTCCGTTGCACCGTGAGAGGCGGCAGATGGTCCTGTCAGTGTTAAAGAGCCAGACTGTGGCAAGTCGTCGTCCCCGTAACCATTGAGCAGACCCAAACCCGCCTCATGGACCGACTGGTCTGTAACCGAAGTTGTCGACGGCGTGTCTTTACCCGGGGCGCGAAGGAACAACATCGGACTGGCAAATGGGTCGAAGTAAGCGGATGGCGTCTTGAAGAGTTTCGCACGCAGCTTAATCAACTCTTCCGCCGCAGCAAGGACCGACTGGTTCTTTACACCACGGCGGGTTGTGGCCTTCTGCTTCTGCCTCTTCTGTGGTATCGGAGATGATGTCTCAACCGTGCGCAGCCGTTCAACAATATCGTCCAATCCCGCCCAATCTACCATTGGTTCAACCACCGCGAGAGCGTGGATTGCGTTCGGCTCCGTGAGCGCCAGCATTGTCGCAAGCGCACCGCCTATATTGCTTCCCAAGAGACATATCTTTGGTGCTTCTTCGTAGTCTGCATTGTATGGAGAAGTAGGAGAAGTGAGATAGTCGAATGCGGTTGAGACGTCGTGGATGGGGACCGGGAAGCATGTTGACTCTTTCGCCAACACCGCAGAGTCTATGCCATACCCTAGCCTGTAATTTATCGATACTAGCGAAGTTGACGGTGGGAGGCTATGTTGAAACTGAGGGAGAACTTCGATAGAAGGGGTGTCATTTGTGTCGATGGAAGGACCAGAAGGGAGGTGAACGAGGAGATTTCGTGGCCCATGACCCGCTGCTGCACGTCCATCAGGTGCAAAGACACTGTGATAGTCAACAGAAGGTGTCCTAGTTGACGGGCTTCACATACTCCAGCTTGACACGGCCACTCACTCCAACTGTCAGCTCAATACTATGGTGTTTCCATGGCTCTGAGGTCGAGGCCGAGGCACAGAGTTTCTTTTGCTGGCATTTGAATATACGTCCCTGCTTGGGGCGAAGAAAGATGCCGAGGCCTCGACGGCAATAACCCAAAGGCATTACATGTTCACAAGCTTGCACGAATTCCAAGCGGAGGGTGATTCGGTATCTGGTGCTCAAGTGACATGCGCTGAACGCCAAGGTTTGCTGGGTTTGGTAAATCTGCTCGGTCCACCTGCCGTCCTCGTCGTCCCACGTTTTTCCTCCAGCAATTTTGTCATCGGGGACACCTGGGTGTTCAGCTATCCAGGCTCGCCAGCTACATACCGTTCATATGGCCGAGACCTCTCCCAAATGTCTGGCTGGCTCCTTCAGCCTTGTTGGAGTCGGGATGGAGCCGATATCCCTGACTCTGGAACAAATTCCCCAGGTCCTCCTTGTCCTGTCGAGCATTCCCCGTTGGCTTCAGACCAAGAATTTTTTGATAGGCCTGGTGATCGACTCCAGCACCTGTCGTACCAGTGCGATTTGTGCTTCAGTCGGCGCAGTAGCGGTTCGATCCATCGGCACCATACCTGACCACCATGATCGTTAATGATATTGATCTACAAAATCATCGGAAACGCTCCGAATCGCTTCCGACTACAGCTCTCCTTCACATGTTAAATCCAGTACGAGTACTTTCTGCATGACCCCGATCAGGGCCCGACCACATTTGGACAGAACCGGAAGCGGCTTCTGAGTGAAAGGTTTCGACATGCGCTTGTCGAGCTGGGGATGACTCGTTGCTACGTGGAAGCGGAGAAAGTCTTTCACGCTGGCTAAATCAGGACCAGAAACCCCTTGGCCTTAAATACTGGCTACAGGCGGCGTCTTGTCTGCTGGAGGCACCCCTTTCCGTTCATACTCTTCTTGCAAAATGGTGGGACTCCATCTAGTTCATACGTTTAGAAGTGTCTTCTTTCGATACAGGAAGAAGTTGTCTGTCGTGATCAACCCAAGGGGTTAGCTCTCGAAGCTCGAAAGGCGGTCTCGTGATGGATGCCAGGGTGATTGGAGAGAGGGAGGTATGATAGAATCCTTCACAGGCCATTGCCTAGCAGCGGAAAGGGTCTTCATTTTGTATTTTGGGGTAGTGGCAAGTCCGCTGGGGAAGTGCAAGAATAAATGGAGGGCGTCAGGCGGCTTGCAAAAATCCCGGATTGCTTCCACTGCGGGCTGCAAATGATAATTCCTGCTCGTGGCTCACCTCGCTCTGAGACGAGGGTGATAGCGCCCTGAGCTTCTCACCTGTCCGCATTACTGTCCTAGGCTTTGCTGAATTCGTGCGCTGTGACACCACATACCTACCCCAATTTTCGACGAGGGTCGAGAGGCCTATTAGATATGTAGCATTCCCCTTTTGTCTCTTGGGGCCGTCGATGGAGACTACGCACTGGAAAGCCGCTGCTAACAGAACCCACACATGGAGTCGGCGTCGAAAAAGAGTGTCGAGACAAGCCCCAGCTCGCGCACCTGTTCAACCTACCCCTTCTTACGAATACGCTTCGCCAGCGTATCTATACGCCTCTAGCACGGCCCGAGGCCGATCTTGTTCTAGTCGCCGGGCCGCCATTGCCTTGATTGGTCTTTAAGGCGCTAGCTCGACCACGCCCGACAAATTATGGATTGTCATTTGTATCAACCAAAATATGGAGGGCATTCGATTTATGCCACGATCATGATTGTTCTGATTCCAGGTCTTTTAAAGCGTCTGGGGATGAACGATGGTCAGCTGGATGTGCAAACCACGCTCGAATCTCCCCTCCTGGCGCTCGGCATCGGGCTGCCCGGCCACAGCAACAGTCCCATCACGTATCTAAATCACATCCCACTTCTCGCAAAGTCGGAACGTGGATTTCAAAATATGTCAGCCACGACCGATCCTTCCACCACAGCGGAGACGAACCCCGTGGGCTTATGGCACTTACCCCAGCTGCTTCCGCCCCCGGGTTATGTGGTCGTGACTCGAGAATACTCTGCTGCGCAGTTCAGTATGGAGGCGCTTCACACGCGTGATTGGATGAGAAATGTCCAGGCTTCACCCCCCATGGACGCGATTCAAGCATTCTAGGGTGACCCCAGGCTTCCCCAGGCGTCCCGATGGTCTTCTTGGCTCATGCTCTACGAATGATCAAGCCTACCTTAGCCTACTGCCAGAACCAGAGCTCCGGTGCCCTGGGCCTCGGGCATAAAGTACAGAAGTACAAAAGGTGCTGTGAGAGACGCTGGCCGGAAGATCAGTTCCACTGAACGAGACTCTCGGTAAAGAGAGCAGCACAAAGAATTTTAGGACGAACCTGCCACACTGCCGGTACCATGACTCTCGTCGACGAGCCGGAGCCCGTACACTGGAATCCAGTCAAGGCTTGCCTCCTTATCCTGGTGAGCGCACAGCCGTCGCTGCCCAAGAAAACCCGGAAAACTAACAGTAAGATTGTGACTCCAGTCATTGACCACCCACTACATTTGCGAACTACTCTTCATCGTCGGTTCAGGCGTCTACGCCCGCGACATTGCTGAGGTGGTTGGAGGAGCAGAAATCTCATCATGGTGCATTTCCGCCGTCACCATCCTGACCGCTGCCTTTGCTCCACCAATTGCTCAGGCGGCTGATTTCTGGGGTCGGAAATGGCTACTGGTTGTGCCCACGTTCCTGGGCTTCATTGGCAGCATCGTCGTCGCCACGGCACAGTCCATGCAGGTTGCCATCATTGGCTTTGCCATCGGCGGCGCCTCTTTCGGGGCCCAGCCCCTCGTGCATGCCGTGGCCTCAGAGATTTTGCCACGAAAGCATCGATCCTATGCACAGTCAACCGTTAACAGCTCTATCGGGGTAGGGGCAATCATCGCCCTGACCGTTGGTAGCGCCCTCACAAACAACAATCCTGCTGGATTCCGGACCTACTGGTATCTCTGTGCGGGTCTCTATGTCTTCTCATCGGTCGCCATGGCCCTACTATACAACCCTGCACCCCGAGAGCTTCAGCTCACAATGACCTTTGGCGAAAAGATTCGTGCTCTGGACTGGATAGGATTTCTCTTATTCAATGCAGGCCTCGTGACGTTCTGTGTTGGCCTCTCATACTCTCAGAATCCATTCCCCTGGACCAACGCTCACGTTCTGGCACCCTTTTTAACTGGCGTTGTGATTCTCGCCACGCTCGTTCTGTACGAAGTCAAATTCAAGAAGGACGGCCTCTTCCACCACGGCTTGTTTCAGCACCGAAACTTCCCCATCGCTGTCACTGCCGTAGCGATCGAGGGTCTGGTCTTTGTGGCCGCCAGCAACTATTACCCTTTTGAGATGGCCACGGTCCTTGCTGGAAGGATATCTAGCTTCCGGGTGGCGGTATGCTTTGCGATTGCCTTCGTGGCCCTTTTTGCGATCGCGAATGTCGTGGGGGCCTATATTCACAGGACAAAGACCGTCCGGGGACCCGCAATGGCGTCCTTTGTCGGCTTTATCATCTTCGGTGCCGTCTCTGCCAACATCAAGAGCTCGACGCCCGAGGCGCATTTCTGGGGCTTCGTCATCTTCTACGGCATTGGATTAGGGATCTGTCTCATCACCCTTCTTACAATGGCTCAACTCGCGACCCCGCCCGAGCTGATCTCGATCACGTCGGGACTGATGGCTTCGATGCGTTCCTTCGGTGGCGCGGTTGGCGTCGCCATCCAACTGGCCATTTTCAACAGCGGTCTGAACTCGAATCTCGTGCCTCAAGTCACTGCCGCAGTGGAGCCCTTGGGTCTGAACGCGACGTCGATTGGACCTCTGATTGCCGCTTTGGGCACGGAGAACCGCACACTCATCCAAGCAGTCCCGGGCGTGAACCAAGAGATTATCGAGGCGGCCGAGACTGCCAGGACTGATGCCTTTGTCATCGGCTTCCGTGATGTGTGGATTAGTGTTGCAGCATTCGCTGCATTTGGGATCTTCAGTATGCTGTGCTCCTCCATCACCTTTTTCGTCTGACATACTCCTGTCAAAGGTATATACTGACCAGGACTACCGCAGTCTGCTACTTTGTTAAAAATCCCAAAGCAGAGTTTAACTCTTCAATCGACGCCCCCCTCGAGGGTACTGCTCGAGTCCGTGAGCTCGAAAAGCCGCGCGTCAGTATCCGGGACAGTGACACTTCGCCTGCTGATATGGGCGCGGCATTGGAATAGAAGTTATATTTTTGCGAGCAATAGGCAGAGGGGAGGACAGAACACGAAGTAGCCGGCACCCGAACACGTTTGGAAGCACGGTTGCGTTCATCCAGAATCTGACCTGATGGGAAAAATTTGGGTTGGTTGTACTTGCAATAGAAATACACGCCGCTTGCTATGCACCTTGCTACCTGACACTCTTTGTAGAGTATTCAAGGCCCATTCTCTTCACTACGACTATGCAACGATCAGGCAGGTGCAACGCGAGGCAATTGGTTGCAAAAGCGGCGCCGGTTGGGTGAGTCGCACTCACAACGCTTCACCCGCCCAAGCCCCTGAACTCGTTTACGACTCAGCGGCCGAGCCTCGTCGCATCCGATTATCCAATAACAGCAACTCGTTAAGCCGAGGCGGGAAAAGGCCCTCGCTGCAGATCTGGAAGGAGTCGAGGCTTTCAGATGTGCCGGAGGTTCGGAGCTCCATACTTCGGGTTCCGCTTATCCTAGAGAGCACATCACACTGTAATGCCCGCTCCGGTAGGCAACGTCAGATTGCCACGGATACAACAGCATAAATCCAATATCACCGGTTCGCAGGTACTTCTATCAATTTGAATCTAGCATCAGCCCCGTATGCTTCTATCTCTCAGCCTGAAGAGACACACTGGCAAGGTCGAGAAGATCAGTGGCTTGGACAGACAACTCATTTCGATTCTAAAGTCTGACAAAAGCTTTCCATCAGGTGCTTCGACGAATCAGAATACTACCAGGTAAACAGCGCGCTGCCGAGCTATTCGGAATCGTGAGAGACGTTGTCGCTGGTCACCAGTTGACTCAATTATGAATATTCTTCCATAACAAGTCCTGCACCCTGGTTCGGTCCATCAATTCCGTTGTCGATAGAGCCGTCTTTGTCCACGCCATGATGTCCTATGTGCAATCCTCGTCGCAAGGACATCTCCCATCAAATAAGATGTTCGACACTCTCAGCTACTTTCCGCACATGTGCTAGTTTCCAGTGCCTCCCCAAACTGCCTATCTTCTTGTTCATAGACACAAGGCCCGGGGGCTCAGATGCCTGACCGAGAACGGGACCGCGTCGTCGAATGCAGTCTTCCCCGACTTATCAAGACTGAGCAAATGATAATGAGTCGCGAAATACATCCGGTGGCATTCTAGCTGTCCGTATGGGGAATTCAAACTCCACGCCCACGTCTCATCGTTCGAGCGATAGAAATTGTATGTCCACGGATATCTTGGTGCACTTGGTCGCGCCGGACCATTTGACTTGAGCACCATCATGGATGAAAAGTTCCTTTGTGAACTTTGAGATAACCGATAGTTCGATATAAAGGTCCGGGTTGGCGACTTCCCCGGGATGAGCCATTTGTCCGTAGCGCTATATGATCACGGGCGGGGTGCCTATGAAGAGATGTAAGTCTATCGCTGTTGACATGCCGCAGGAGGAAGAAAGTCGCCATTGCTGCGGCTGTCGATCTCCATTTACTTATTGCTCGGCGAACCATCTCCGCAGGCCCGGTCATCGTCCACTGAGTGAGTGATCTTGGTGCTCTCTTCTCGCCTATCTTTCTGAACTTGCCGTCAAAGGTCAACAACGCCGGCCAAGGACTCACTGGGCATGTATGAGCATGCATATCTGTTCCAGACCGGGAAAGAGTTCAATGTGACTGGAAAATAGTATATTGCAAAGAGCGCTGCTAGGGTTCGATCTCCACAGTTTTGCGGTTACGCATTATACACCCACAGTCCTCCGAGCCGATCCTTATTCAGCTTTGCAAGAGCCCTCGCAACCTAATATACCGGTTTGCCAACAAATGCGCACGAACTATCACTGATCTCCGTCTCTGCCAAGGCCATCGAGTAGCTTAGTCTCTAAGCCGCGGCCGAGACATTACCCCCGATACCAGCCATCTCTTGACGTGACTGGCTGCATAGCCGTGCATCAAGACATCTCTATCGGACCCGTTCTCATATCGACCCCATTAGGACTTTAGGCCAACTACTCGGCCGAAATGGGTGGTGAAAGCACCGAGCTTGGCTCCGCATGGTTTATGTCACTATTCCGCCGTTTTTCAGACTACCGCACTCTACATGTTTGATGCCCCCCTACGCTACCATTAGCCCCCATGCAACTCTATCCCGCGACAATTTCTCACGGATTTCTTCTTGTGCTTCTACCCCTTTCTTTATGTAGTTGTATTCGACTGTTCGTTTGCTTCATAGGAGAGAGTGCCACGCGGTACACCTTGCCCCTGATCCCGACATAGGACATATCATTCCAAACCTGCAGACGACGCTTCTGCCATGGTAGACTGATCGACCTTAAAGTCTACCGCCTTATGCTGTCGGAGCAGGCCGGCGTCCAGGATCAACTAAGGGTCCTGCTCAAACCGATTTCTCAAGCTGCTCACTTTTGACAACTGCTGTGGTAGGCACCTCGAAGACCTCGACACCTTCGTCCGCGATGCGCCCAGTCTCAGTAAGATGCAATGCACCTTGATGAATCTTCTCCTTCTCCTCCTCGCTGATGCCGTACCAGTGGACGGCGACATGCTTGTCTCCGAATAGCGTCCCGATCTCCTCAAGCGTTCTGTTCGTGGTCTCCGGGAAGAAGAAGTAGATAATAGGTAAATATATAACGGTGGGACAAATAAGGACAAGGTAGACTATTCGAATGGTTAGTGGTACGTGTCAATCGGATATAAATGGGGAGTATTTTCTTCACGAACATTTCCAGCCGATTTCGTTCAAAGCCACAGGGGCTGCAACCAGGGTGATTTCACTTGTCAGGAAGAAGATTGCTAGCCCCAATGCCGTACCTTGCGAGCGCAGGTGGTTGGGCCAGATTTCTGACACGTATACAAACTGTGTTGCATCCTGTAAGGTAATCAGCATTTGCCACGGCGATGTTTGTAGAAGACGGTTGGGCCAATTTCCATACCATGCAAGAGCACCAGAAGGTAATATAGAGCCAAATAAAGAACACGCAAGCGTTCAAACCAGCCTTGCTTGTTCCACCAAGGTAGGTGGCCGTCAGCGCCGCCTCGAAGATCAGGCACATCAGACAGCCGGTTGTACCAATCAGCAAGAGAGGTCTGCGGCCGAAGCGATCAACAAGGAATGCTGTCAGTGTATTGCCGAAAATGGTATAGGTGGTCCAGCAAGCATTCAGCAGCAGCGGGATGGTGCCTTTCAAGCCGAGCGAGGTATAGATAAGTACACCGTAGTTCGCCAGGACATAGACACCCATCATCTGATCGAAGAACATCAGTAAAAAGGAGATAAGGGCACGACGTCGATTAGCCTTGGTGCGGAGTATTTCAAACTTCCGACCTAAGGACAATTTCTTATCTGCTTCGTGCTGCTTCTCCATCAAGTAAAACTCTTCTTTGGCCTTTATTTGCTCTGGGTCGTCCTTCTGGCTGTGCAGACGTTTGACAATATTGAAGGCTTCTTCGGTCTTGTCTTGGCTGAGAAGCCAGCGAGGCGATTCAGGAATGAATTTACTGCCAAGTATGACGATCAAAGGCGGAACGCATTGAAACGCCAAGGGGAACCGCCTGTCATTTCTTTCAGCAAGACAAGAGATCGCTTGGGGCTTTTCGTCTTACCAGGCGGCCGAAGCATTAGGTGAGGTCCCGGGTATATAGGCGCAGCCGTACCCAATCCAGCCGGCGAAGCTATATCCCCAAGCCCACATGATACCCGTGACACACATCATAGCACCCCGAGTCTCAGCCGTGGCGACTTCTCCTTGGTACATGGGCGTGACGATGGCGAGGATTCCAGATCCCACTCCAGCCACAATACGGCCGACGGCAAACATGGAGATCGCGACAGAGCCTGCGTTAAGGGCACCGCCGATGATGATGAAAACGCAGCCGATCATAATTGCGGCTTTGCGACCGCATTTGTCGGCTGCCCAGCTGCTAACGATGCAGCCCAAGAAGGCACCGCCGCTGTTTGCGCCATTCAGGCCTCCGAGGACGTTGGTTGTGTGCGCATAGCCAGGGTCGCCTTGTACCGGCAGATTGAAGTACGTGTAGACTGCAACTGTCAGGCTCCTATATGGTTGATTTCCTGGGTTCGATTCTTACAGTTTGGTTGCCCAGACGTTGAGCCAATGATAGCAAGGCCATAAGCTGTCGACAGCGTACCGAGCGCGACGAAAATCACCACTAGCACGTTGAAAGTGTTGAACTTCATCTTGGACTCAAAGCCCTGGGCTTTGGCGGGATCCAAGCAATGTGGCGAAATAAAGGGATACTACCTCGTACACCGTATAAGCGAAGCCAGTGAGGAAAGCAGGCTGCGAGACAAGATCAAGGGGGGAGCAGTAGTAATCGATCAAGCTTTATTCCCCAGATTTGCTTATGGCGCTCGCCTCGGTCCAGCTAGCTTTGTTCCCTCGGTGCTTCATCGACTCGTCCGATTTATGGAGAAAGATCTCCGCATGTTCCCCTTTTGGTTACGCTGAAGTGACAGGGCTGAACGCGTAACCCCTAGTAGTAATCAAAAAATTGACACGTATTGACCGCATAGGCTTCGTCATCCGCACAAACAGAATTTCCTATGAGCAGAGCCAACCGACTCGGCTCTCGAGGCGACTGCCCTGTGAGTCTTCCTCAAAATATACAGGTTGGCAAAGGCGATAGGTCTAAGTGTGTTGAGCATCGCCAGCCAGTTCCACCACGATCCCGCCAGCTTACTAGTAGCGCCGTCGTGCTGACAGTGGGCACGTCCAAATTGCCCCCTTCATTTCTTTGGCTTTTGAATTAGCTTTAAATTGAGTGATGAAGGAGATTTGTGAGGGGAACGGGGACTTTTCCCTACAAGTAGATTTCGACCCCTTTTTACTATGATAGTGGGTCCGTGGGAAGGACCAATCAGGGTAGTCGGCCCCGGCCTTCGTTCTCCGCTTTGAATATATACCTAGGTTCCTGGAACTTGGGGTTTCGGGGACCCCAGGAAATTCAAGAAATATACTCCGCAGTACCT